GCATGGTCGAGTGAGGATGCGTGCTCCTAGCCATAATCAGTCGACGCTCAAAGGTTCTGGGGGTAATTGATTAGCCATGTCTTTACCGGCGACTGATCGCTGTTCATAGGCGTAGCGCCGGGAGAGCGACGGAGAAGATGGCAAGAGGACGAGCATGAGCGCGCTAGTACGACCCTCCTAGGCACAAGAAGCGTGTGGACCCGAGGTCCTAGTATATACTGTGCACAGTGGTATGACCAAGTGCCTTACAAAGTACGACGTATGCATCGTTGCAAGGTTGGCTTGCCGCAAAAGGAGGAGGAGGGTGTGTTGTCCTGAGGCTGTTGTTAAGCAGGCCGAGTGTGACTCTCCTCAGGTACCGTTCTGTGAAAGACTCAATACATTCGTCCGGTCCAAACCCTGCATCTTTTGGTCATATGAGTCAAGTAGTCTGCACATATCGTAAGCGAAGGACACATCCATCGGGGATCTGGAGAGCATCAAACCAAGCCCTGCTCATTCAGAAGGGAGAAACCTCCAATGGCGCTTGTGGCGCTTTGAACCTCCCACAGAGTAAAGCCGAACGGTCGCGCGTAGGCAGTTCTGGACCTGTCGTCTGACTCGCCGCCCTGGTCGGATGTTCTGGCGCTCAAGGATGCATTTGAGGGTAACGAAGAATCATTCCACATTCTAGGGCCCAATGTGACGTGCGCCGTACCCTTCACACATTGAATATCTCTATTTTAGGCGTCTTGGAGTACCCAGCAACCAGAGGCCAGGCAGCGAAGACCCTCGAGGAGCGAATCAGGCCATTCTTGAGCATTGGCGGGAGAGTAGTAGTGCCTCGAGTGCCTCGAACGTGCAGTTCAGCCCCCGTTTACCGTCAGCGGATGAACCCGTCGTCTTGCGCCGCCAACTTAACCTAGCAGACTGCAGAGGGCTTAAGCAATGAAGTCTGGTTCGGGGCCTGCGGGCACCTTTCGAAGATTGACCGAGCCGGGAGACTGCCAGATAGGATCGCAGGCAACCCCGTATAATGCAGATCCGACGGTCTGAGACTTTGCTTCATGTCTTTTCGTATTGAGCATCGAGTCAAAGACGACGGAGACCTGCGGCCCGTGTCTTTGGCGGAGTCACTGCGAGTCGAGCGACTCCTGCAAGGTTGCAAGAGGCACTCAGACGTGGTGCAATCAGATCATGAAAATCTGGGGGTTGATCAGCTCACCCCCGGATTGGTGGTCTCACAGTATCCGTGCACCTTGCATCCCCTGCGGCCTAAACTGGGAGAGTTTCTGAGTTCGGCATGGTCAGTTTTTGATTTTCGCGCCGGCCCTTTTGCCTAACCATCGGAACAGTGTACCGTCGTGGCTGGTGCACCCCTTTAGCATTGCATAAGACCAAGGGCTCAGAGCCTGTCCGGCACGACTCAAGATTATTTCAAAGCAAACAATCCATCTCATCCTAGGAGTCAAATGGCAACGGCGCTGGCAACTAGCGCACGCCATCTTCCGCTTGTCTTGCCGACATGAATCAAGCGCTATCCAGGAGCAGACCGGACTTTTCGTCTAAGGGGTATCTCGTTCAAGTTGTTGCAGGAGAACCGAGGTGGATTGAAGCCACTACTGCACAGTTGGTGTAACCAAGCAGTCATGTAAACTATTGCCATGCCGGACTCGGAAGGGGGAACTTCCAAATTTACGTCAGGAGGTATTCTCGTAGGCCAGGTTCGGGGTTGTGGCTGCCTGTCGTCGTTCCTGTTGTAGGTAGCCTGGACCATTTTTCAGACGTGGAAGCGTGGAGCGGGCCTGATCAGGTCAATCAGAAGGCTCAATATTCCGGCGATATGCCCTCTCTTGCCAGTGATACGAGATAGGCCGGTGGTAGTGGCCAGGCATTTGCCACGGGCTCGTCTGTGGTGTCCTATGGCACGATAAAGCTGCATAGTACGTAGTCATCCCGCTTGCTTGTCGAACCAGGCTAAGGAGAACCATTGAGGAGCTGCGTGAAAGCAAGCGTGCGTCCTGTTGTTGTCAGAGCTTGAGGAAGGGGCCGCTCGTCTGACAGGCCGGACATGCAACCGCCATCAGGCTTGTCATTATTGGTCGTGTTCGCATGGTGCAGAAAGTAGTCGGGATGGTGGTCGTCTGAGGGTCTCGTCCATGGCTCGTTTTCTCAGCCCGGCCGGGACAATACTGGTGGACAACTATGACAGGGTGGAATTCCTGGCGGCGCCTAGGAGAAGGCTACAGAGGGGGTAGCACTCTGAAATTACGCGAGTTGCATTTGATGAAGTGTGCTAGTCGTATCTTCACGACAGACCTCGAAGACGGTGGTGAGGTCTTGAGAGATCGCATTCTCGGCATGCAGTTCACTTGCAAGTCCAGAGGTGTTCTCGCAGGTGATGGTTCGTCTAGAGTTATTTCTGGTGCTATTCGTACGTCGATGACTCGATGATTGCCAGAATATCACGGACTTGCTCCTTCTCTTGATCAGCAGACAGGAGACTCTCTAGTGCTGTAGGTACCGATTCCGTCTCTTGTTGGTGGTGTCTATCATTACCTACGGGTAGTAGTAGTCGATCGTGCAACCAGGCCACGGAGCGTCGGAGCGATCCTGCGACGGTCTCGAGACGCGGGTTAGCTCGAGTGCCTACAGAGTAGGGTGGATGAAAGCCGGAATTGATATCGTTGGAACACTAGCTGGTAGGATGGAGCCGGAGGCCTGGACTCCTTGCAGGAAGAGTGCAATTTGGGAGCAGAGAACGATTTTGCAGAACGGCTAGAGGGAGGGAGCAAAGGAGCCGCATCATAGAGGTATGGATTGATGTTCATGAGGTCGCAATTGGTGTTGGATATCAGGTGTTGAAGTCATCATCTTGCAAGGCATGAAATTTGAAACAGGCGGCAGAAGCATAGTACCTAGAGGTACCTAGGTACCTTGCCTATCATCTCTCGCCAAACAGACCCTGATGCCACTATCTTCTTCGTCCCTGTAATGATGGACATTTGCCTGCGCCGGACAGCTGCTATCCCCTAGCTCCTCGTTCTCTTGCTCCCGGCCTGTCCGTAAAACCAACTACCTTACACTACTAGCAACATGGACCACGTTGGGGTATCATTTACCGAAGACATGAAAATTCCACAGCGTTACCACAGAGTCCTCCCGAGTCCATTCCAGTCTGGTCTGGTCATAGTATCGACTAGTGGCGCATCGACCCTGCAGTGCCGCTCGCCATCTGCCATCTCCACCCTCTCGCTCGCTTCTGTTGACGCTGTATCACCATGCAAAAAGAGGAGGGATACTAGTAAGGCATAGAGGACCGGGTCCCAGGCAAAAGCAAGAAGCAAGAAGCAAGGACCTACCTACGTACACTGTAAAGAGTCTGTGAAGTGGCCGCCGCCTCTACGATAGCACCGATCAGCCACAGAGCCGGCACTTCGCTCAGTTCTGACATCGGTTCGGTTTTGACAGGTAACAGCGCAGCCGCAGCTCAAGCTACGTCGAATTGTCCAACAGTTAGTGGCCTCGAGATGCTCTTAGCTTGTCGCCTGGTCGCCTGTTCTCCCCACAATTCGAATGTCCTACAGAGTCAAGGATGCCATCATCCATGCCTTGATCAAACCACCCATGGCCCACGACCCCCGACCCTCGACCCACGGCCACGATCCATGACCTCCAACTGTCAACCACACCTCTCTTGCAAGCCTGAAGTGCCAAAGCCTCTCGTGTTCTTCTCCGCCGCCAACCTCAACGGTCCATCCTCTGCCGCGACCCGAGTGGACGTCCTCTGCCTGCGCTGCTGTATACCATCCGTCTATCCTGAGTATCCTCACCTTGGTTGACCCATCCGGCACACCTCCACCACCAACACTTACTTGTTCAGGGTCCACCAATACGCCTCCCTCACGCGTCCCGTCACGGTCCCTACCATTCTTGTAAGCGATCGACCAGGGTCAGATGGCATGCGTACCCGTATGGATCATGCTGTCCGGGAGTTGCTAGGAAAATGCGAGTCCACGAGGCCGTCATCCCCATTATTTCCCGTCAACCCATGTCAGCGCAGACGCCATTCCAGTCCATCACCTTGACTGTCTGCTCCAGAACCACATATTCGTCCACTCTGTTGATGAGAAGGCTCACACCAATGTTTCTTCCCTGCTCCAATCTTGGTGATCTGCTTCTACGTCGGGTTCTTACCCAAGACTGCATGGATGAGCCCGCATGCACTACTAAATTTGATGCAGACCCCTCTACCATGGCTGTTACCACCTTGTTCTGATGCTCCTCTCTCCTTCTCGTGATGCTTGGACCGCTTCCACCTGACAGCAGACTGGACCTTATTATTGATCCTGTGCTCGTTGACGGCGGCACAGAACTGTCCTGTCTGTCAATTTTGACCGGCCAGGGTGAATCCTTTCGCTCCGTCCTTCTCATCGCCACTCATCAGTCCTGTCGGCAGCCGTCCTGTACAAAGTAAGCCTGCAGGGACTTCGGCACTGCCCTCTCTGCCTTTCGAATTCTCGTATGTCATACGACCGAACTTGAATGACACAACGCTCCCGCACGACAACGGTGGTCACCCCAATCTGTTCCTCCTTACTGTCTGTCGGGTTACTATCTCGGGTTTCGGAGCAACGGGATGCAGCACATCCTTGATCTTATTGGAGTAGAGATTCACGGGACGGACGACATCAACTGAGTGCCGTTGCTAGGAAGAAAGAGGGCGTTTGTCCCTTCGACGTTGCCGGAAGCTTTCAACCTGGCGGCTTGACCTAGCATTAGACGTCCACGACATTCGTTCATCTGTTGGAAGGGCGCTCCGCGCCGGGAACGGAGACGGTGTCGTCCATCGAGTACCACATTCTTTCGACACTGAAGTGTTTTACAGCTTCAACACTGGCCTCATGGCAGCTGGTGTCGTATTGGCTTCTGATTTGCGATTGGAAGAGAGGCACGACATTCAGAATCTGACCTGCCCTTGTCCTACCGTCCGAGAGCTGTCGAGCCTGCCGTTGGCCTCCATGGCTCAATCACCAACATCGGACGACCACCGTGGGAACAACTTCTCACACAAACCCCGTCTGCCTTCTTTCAGCAACTTTCTCTCAGGCACTGGCCGTCCGGACTTGAATTTCATACAACCCAGGCCAGGATTGAACCGCAGAGATTTTCTTCCCGTGAATCACGAGGCATTGAACCGCCAAACTTCGACCCCATCCTCGTATCCTCCTTCCGAAAGGCTGGCAGCACCGCTACCGGACGTCAATTCCCGATTACACGATCACCATCCAGAGCAAACTCAATCCCCCTTTTGGCCGTTTACCAGTTCGGCTCCGTCAGACAGGACGGCTGCAACCTTTGGTGCTTTTCCTCCAGGGCCAGCTCCGGATCGTACACATGGTCGAACGATTGTGAGGGAGGAGCTTGTACCGGGCAAAGGCCTCTGTTACGTTTACGACGACGGAAGTGTTTGTCAGAAGAACGCCGATGGCGAGCCTGTCAATCCCAAATGGGGGACCACCAAGGCTGGAAAGCCAAGGAAGCGGCTGGGCCAGGCATGCAACACGTGCAGGGAGAAGAAGATCAAGTGTGACCCCAGTGTGCCCAAGTGCGCCCAGTGCAGGAAGTTTGGGCGTGAGTGCAAGTTTGATGCCGGGTAAGAAATCGTGACATGTTCTCCTTCCATGGGGTTGCGTCAACTAATCCTTCGGAGCAGCCCTCGTACCGGACAGAAGCGATCGGGATCGTTGCCGTCAGCATACTCCTCAGCGTACTCTTCGCCCGTAGAACAAATGTCCGAAAGGCCTTCTGGACGAAGAGAGTCGACGGCCTCAGCAGACTTGATAGGTCCAGAGTCGCCTCTATCAAAACCTGGGAATAGATCCTCTCTCCCGTTGGAGAGCCTTTTGTCTCCAGTATCGACCGATGACCATGCCAACGACGATGGTTTGGATAGGAGGCCACCGTCAAAGAGGGCTAGGTTATCTGCATCGCCACGGCCCGTCTCTGAAGGCGGTCTATCCGACGGGTTCAGTATCGAATCGCTGTTAAACACGTCATCCACACCCTCATTCTCGTGGCAGAATGACCCTTACGAACTTCACCGGGGCTTGACCCTATACTATGTCGGCAAATACTTTGCACATGTGGACAGCACAGCATATTGCACATTACCGAGAAAGAAATTCACTAGCTGGGTGGAAACTCGCACCTCGAAGTCTGCGGAGGACAAGATGTTACTCTATGCGATTTTGGCCCTAGGGACAGTGTTCGCACGACGCGCCGGTCGAGACACTCATCGCTCGGTGTTCCTCGACATCGTCCATGATGCCGTATTGCAATGTGGCGACACGCTGAGCTTACAATTAGTTCAAACCCGGCTGATTTTGGCCTCTCTTGCCTTATCCCAAGGTGAATACAACCGAGCTTGGGATTTCTGCGGTGCGGCGTTGCGGACCGCATTCGGACTCGGATACAACACTGAAGAGGGTGTGCGAGTGGTGTGTGATGCCGGTCGACTGGACTTCGACTTGGACTTTGCAACATTGGTGGAATGCCGCAGGAGGACGTTCTGGTCAGCGCACATCATGGATTGCTTCAGCGGCTGCATCCCTGCCTCTGTCAATTCAATGTATCGCTCGGACTGTCACCTACGACTACCCTGCAACCAGGCCGCATACGAGACGGGCGACATTCTGCCTACCGCCTTTGACTTGACCATCCCTCCCAATCGCCGCGATGGCCCAAGGGACCTGGCTGAACAAATATCTCATGTCGGGCTTCTGGGGTACCTCGTCCAGATCGCCACAATCTTCCATGAGGTAGTTAGCAAAATCAGTCGACCGAGGTCTCGAATAGGGACCAACTACAGTGTCTTCTTGGAGACATTCCGGCACGATATCATGAACAAGTTGCAGTCATGGCATGGACACCTCGCATCTCACTTAAGAAGCTCGCGCAGGGACAACAGCAGCGCGGAACCTGTCAACGGCCTCCACATCCTGTATCATTATACCGCGTTACTGCTCCATCGTCACGTACGACATGCCGAGATGAGTCAACGGCAAATCGACGCCCACATCCAAGGCGCCTATGACCACGCCCGGCTGATGTTGGAAATGGTGCAGAGACTGAGCAACAATGAGGAACGGGACGCCGCCCTGTTCCGTTTCACCACTACCAGTCCCTTTAGTGGCTACGCCATCACTTCGGCCCTAGACACGATTACGGCAGCAGGGATCCTGTCGGAAGTGATGAACCAGAAGAGCCAGACAATGTCACTGATCTCCAGCGGCCTCGAAGCCTTGGAGAGCTTGATGGAATTCTGGCACAGCGCGCACCAACAGCGCGATATGATCAAGCAGAGACTGAAGACGTTGTTGAATGCCAGCAAAAGCGCGTCAGACTACAACGGAGCCTTTTTCTTTGCGAACCCCATGCAAAGCCCTTTCGGCTTAGACCAGGACATCATTTATGGATTGCCTCGCATGCGTTACTACCAGGCGTTGGGATGGCATAACAAAATTCAGACGAGGGGAGAGTTTCACCAGTTGGACCGGGAGTAGAGCGGGCTCGGCAGTTTTCAGCGATCTCCAGCGGATCTCATCATCAGCAATCAGAGCTAATATGAAGCGAAGAGAAAAGAGGAGAGAGAATGTTCAGGATGATGAAAGAAATGAGCTTATATGACGGACCCCTGGGAGATGATATGTGTTGTTACGACGTCCTCTTCAGTTCGCTCTGACCCAGCAGCCTTTTCCCACGTTGAAATGAGGGATGTTCATATTTGCAGCTTCTGACGTTGCCCACCCCGGGCTTTCTCGAGGTTCGCAGTACTCTGCAAGTCCCGTGTTCGTTGTGATGGGCAATAAAAGACGTCGATGGATTATGTTGATAGGCATTTTATCCATGTATATAGCAATTTCAATTGGTCAAATGAATGGGCACATTGATGGGCACATTGCACTCGGATCACTGCTCAATTTGCAGTAGTGAACATGTCCCTATGCCGAGAACCAAGGATGAGTTGGCGCAGGGAAGGAATTGGTAACGAGGAGGAGTACCTAAAGGAGGAGTACCCAGAGGAGGATATACCTCCCCCGAATCGCTTATCATTCTCACCACGACTTCGCAGCCAGCATACCTTAAGGTATCTACTAGTAGAGGTAGGGTACCCGGGCACATGCCTTAAATTGGCTTCAGTTAAGGTACCTAAGGTGAATCTGATTATGGCCGCTAAGTGGCTGTAGTACTATGGGTTTCGGACCTCTAGGCTGGGGAGGCATCCCTAAGGATCCCGAAGGCACCTCACCTAAGAATGGCACGTTTGGCTCGGAATCTCAGCCTGATCAGCTCGACTGCAACCACTGCAGGCTTGATCTTGATGTCGGGGGAACTACGTACTAGGCGCTAAGCATCAGGATGGCCAGTGAGTGACAGTGATACGCTCCTTACGCCAGACCGCTTGATGGTCCTAATAAGCAACCACCGCACACTGATACGCACGGCACAGGGAGCCACCATACTGTATGTCCCACTCAGCCTAGGTGGTTGAGAATGATTGTGCTTCCTCCAGGACCACGCAGGCATGGAGCTCAGACGCGCGAGACATCATCATTGAGCCGTTCAGCTCGGACTTTCAAGTATTCTAGCGATGACCAAAAAAGGGACACAGCACAGGATAAAAGATAACACACACCACCCGACTGGGACTTTTCGTTTCCCTCCGATCTGCAGACAAGAAAGGGACTCGATACTCATGATTCCAACTTCGTTCCAGGCAGTAAACAGAAAGCACGATGTTCACAATGCAACCCTGTTCACAGGACATCCGCCTTGACGCCCAATCGCCGCATTCATCAGCAACCAAGAAACAGCAACGAAACCCGAATCAAAAAGCATCAAAACAGGGACATGATCTGTTCCATATTCCACCGTCTCAAGCATTGAATTGAACCAAACGGGAGCTCTACCACACCAGAAAATCACCACACTGAATCTGACAATGTTGATCCATCACCATGTGTACAGCCTGCCCCGATATGGGTTTGATTCCACCGTGTGTCGCCTTGCCCGAAAGACAATCGAGAAGCAGAAGCAGAAGCAGAAGCAGAAGCTCGATATCTGGTACTGGTTGAACCCAAAGGCGGAAAGGAAAGCCCGCGCAAAGGCCACCGGAGACACTAGGGAGACCAATGGGCCCGAGTGACGGGGGGTGGATGCCTGGGGCAGGTGGAACCGGGAAGAAGTAACAAATTGAAGATCTCAACCCCATGGCACGGCCCGTGCTTCATAGCTCCTGCAGGGCAAAGACATTCACATCACCCACTGAAGCGGGACTCGGGGCGTCGAGCTCGACGGCTTCGTTCTCGTCTTTGGCGCTTTCGCTCTCCCAGATGTCAATGCCGCCATCTGCATTCAAGTTCTCGGTGACAGTAACATTGGCAACCAGGGAAGACTCCGACGGTTTGTTGGCACCAGAGGGCGTGGCGGAGCTGAGGATCTTGGCTATCGATGGGACCTCAAGAGCTTCAACGACCTTGGCGGTCATGGACAGGGATGTCACAGCTGGAGTTGTGGGTTTGAATTTGAAGTCGTGAATGGACTCTGGTTTTGGTGCTGTGTCCCCTCCAGCTTCAGGTACGGGCTCTTGCTCCTCCTGCACGGCATCGTCATGCACAAGCACCACACTTGTTGCGTCGAGGCCTTCGGCATAGAATTCTGAAGGGTTCAGGTCTGCCAGTGGTCTACGCTCGTCGTCTGTCATGGCGTTGACGTCTTTGTCCTTTCTCGAGACAGCCTTTGCCACAGCGGCGGCCGCCATGGATCTAGTCATGGGTGCTGACGGCTCGTTGGGATCGACGTTCTCCTTGCCCTTATCGAGCCGCTCGGAAAACGATTTGGCAGCCTTGCTTTCACCGTCGCTGATGTCCAATACAGTTGTGCTCTGCATCATAGTCCATTCGTTCATACGGTAGTCCTGCACCTCTTCGGGCTCTTCGAAGATGTCGAAAACCCATGACTTGGGTTTCGTGTCTTCGATGGTTCGTGGTTGCGTCGTCTGAGTCTTGCGGGCCTGTGCTTGCAGTCTGGATCTCTTGGTCCCGTTCAATGCTGCCGAGATGGATAACGCTGGAGACTGGCTGCTCAATGGAAAGGCAGGTGGGTTGAAACGTTTCCGTGTCTGTAAGAGACCAGAGCGTTTACGCGTCGGGGAACGACCTGCCGCTGGAGCTGACGCCGGTGTATTAAGAGCAGGCTTGACGAAGGTGTCGAGCCGCGGTGTGGGAGTTTCGAGACGGCGTTTGGCAGGTGGGATTGATGTCACGTTCAAGCTGAACCGGTTGGTCTTGGAGGCAGAGACATCGTCGTCAAAAGCTGATCGTTTGCGTTTGTTGAGAGAATTGAGAATGTTGGGGTCGACGTTCTCGCTGTCAGACCCTAGCTCGGGGGATACAGCGCGTCGTTTGAGGCAAGGTGCGGAACTGGGAGTTATGGCTATACAAAGAAGCAGGTCAGGACGCGTACTTGAGAACCACGCTGCTGGAGGTGGAAAAGAGAGACCCTACCATTTTGTCGGTTCTTCAAGCTTTGCATGCTTCGCAACTTGGACTCATTGAGAACACCAAATGGTTGGCGAGCAGGCGTGCTGATCGGGGATAGAGCTGCCATTGTGTTTGCTTGCTCTTGAGAGGGAGTTTTTAGTGGTTGAACAGGTCTTGGAAGGTATTTGGTTGCTTGGTCTACGACCTAAAGGGCTGATGTTGGTGTTGGTGTTGGTGTTGGTGTCGATATGTTTATGGGAAGAAGCTCCCAACTCGGAACCGGAGCCGCAAATTTGGCTGGCTCTTTGTTGGTCAAGTGAATACTGTTGACCCAGGCAACAAGTTAATTGTTCGACACGGGTAGTCCAGGCAGTCCAGGCAGTGCTGTGAATAAGGATGGAGGACTCTCTACCACAAGACTCGAGGAGGAGGAGGAAAACTTGTCCAACGAGGTGAGCAAAGCAAGATTGTATATGGTAGCGGCGGACTCCTGGAGGCTATGACCAGTTGGCGCAGTCAAGGACGTCGTTTCGGACGCGGAGTCTGTGCTGACGCGCGATCCTGGTATGAAGGATGACAGCTCCAATGGTTTGACGTGAAGAAGACGGCGACATGCAGGACGGACACAGGAAAGCGGTCAGGCTACTGCAGGTTAGAAACAGGCATTGAATAAGAGGAACAGCGGCTGAGGTGGCGGGCGATTGGGCCGAAGGGAGGGATGGTTGAATGGTGGGCAGTGAAGCGCAGATTGTCGAGGAAAAGAGGGAAACGCGGACAAGGAGAGAGTTTCGACATTCACTGCCGGTGCGAACAGGGAGCGAGAGTTCGACTTAAATCAGACGCGCAGCTGCGCGTGTGAAGTGGAGAGACGGAGACGCGTCGGGAAATGACCTCGCGCGACTAACACGCGTAAAGTGGTACACCACCTTGCAACAGCAGAGCGCAGCCATACAATGTGGAGATGATCGTGAACACACCTACTACTATAGTACACAAGTATACAATTGCATTTACGTGGATAAGGTATTCAACGTCTTAATGGACTTCTCTATTTCTGCGCATCTAGCAGTTGATGCTCTTTTCAAGACTACACAAGCTAACTACAGTCTCAAGGACGGTCTGCCTCAGTATCCATCATCCAGGGCATTGCACGCGCCGTCTCCACCGACCGATTTGGCGGCCACTTTTGTCTCACCGCGGATGCGAAAGAGATCTTCGTATCCAATCAATGCGGTAGTCGCCGATCATGATGATGTCGTAGCAGGTCACACCGCAGGCCTGCATCGTTCACCACTTGGACGACCTTTGGACGTCTAGACACCATGCTACAGTTCAATTGATGTCTCATGAGAAGCGGCGTTCCACGTTACAATTCCCATGGTCAAGAAGCAGGCTTCAAACACTGTTGGAAACAAGGTAAAGATATGTACGCTTGTGCTAGAGACTGAACTTGAACACTGCAGATCGTTGGCCAACACGCCGCATGTTGGAGCACGTCGTCACTGGCCTCATCCAGGAACGAGTCCATCTGTTCAAATACCCTCCAAATATGCAGCCACGCTGACTCGAACACTTGAACTCGTTCCATGGTCGACAGAATGTATCAGAGACAGCGTGTCTACTCACAAGGAAGCCTCCGAGGGAGACGGAGCTCTTCATCGAATTGGCCAACACTGCTGTCCCTGGTAAGTTCTAACCCTGTCCAATCTATATCTATCTTTCTCTAGCTAGTTCAAAGTCGCGCCTTGGGTTCTGCCAGGTCCACTAAATTCTCGTCTTTTGCAAACTGATAGTAATAGTCGAGGCTCTGCGGGTTCAGTAATGTCCCAGATGGCTTGATGACTTTCCCAGACACAATCTGTTTCACCGGCAATTCGACCTTCTTAAGGTTGACGGTTGTCTGGAGATAACTTCAGTTAGCAAACCGTTTCAATGTGCCCTTGTCACATGGGACCTCAACGTACCGGGATTTCTTTGGTTTCGAACACAAACTTAGGCACATGCCGCGGACTCGTGGCTTTTCGGATCGCCTCTTTGACCTCTCTCACCAACTGCGGCGTGAATTGATGGCCCGGTTTCATCAACAAAAATAACATGACTCGCTCATCCACATCCTGCGGCCGCCTCTGTCCGACACAGATACTGTCGCTGATGCGATCGGCAAATTTGGCCTCGATGATGCTGTAGATCTCAGCAGAACCAAAACGTACACCACTGGGGTTGAGGACGCCGTCGGCGCGGCCGAGGAAGAAGACCTGTTTCGTGACAGGATGGATCATGATGAAGTCGCCGTGGGTCCAAACATTGTCGAAACGTGCAAAATAGCTGTCGAAGTACCGTTGCGGCCCATTATCGCCATAGAACGTGACCGGCATGGTTGGGAACGCTTTATCTGCGACCAGTTCACCCGGCACACCATCTGGCACCTCGACGCCCTTGACACCTTTGCCGCCTTCAACGGTCTGGTCGTAGACCTTTACCGATATGCCGAGTGCGCGAGACTGGCATCCGCCCACATATACAGGGACAATGGGGTTGCCGCAGCCGAAACAAGCAGCCAAATCCGTGCCCCCTGAGATATTGTCCAAGTGGACCGAAGCCGGGAAGGCTTGATCATAAAACCATTCAAACAGTTGGTCCGCAAGTACCATACCCGTACTCGTCACGACTTTCAGATGACTAAGGTCAGTCACTTTCTTTGGGATGACGTTGTTCGACTGCAAGGTCTGCAGATAGCGCGGACTGATACCCAGGTGCGTCACCTTCTCCTGACCCAACAACTTGATGAAATCGGTGAGATGCGGCACAAAGGGGCTACCGTCGTAGAGGACGATGCGGGATCCCATCAGCAGCGCCTGCAGGCTAGTCATGTACATGATCCAACCGGTCGTCGTGTACTGGAGCTGGGTCGACTCCGGCCCTATGGACCGATGCAGCACGCCTTCTTTATGAGCATTGATGACCACGCCGCCAATGGCATGGACAATGCATTTCGGCTGTCCCGTAGTGCCGGAAGAATAGACGACCAAAAACGGATCCGAGAAGGCGGTCGGCTCGAATTCCAGATCGGAGGATTTGGCGGCAGAGATGAAGCCGGCCCACGTCTGCGCCCGCGGCACCGCCGAGACATCAGCCGGCGAATGGGCGAAGCGGACCTGTGGAATGATTCCCTCGAACTCGGCGACGCCAGTCATGCCGGCCATGACGTCCTTCATCTTCGGGCGCAGGTCGATGGTCTTGCCGTTATACACGGCCCAGTCGTCCATGAAGAGATACTTGGGTTTGATCTGCGTCAGCCGGTCCAAGATGCCCTTGACGCCCATGTCGGTGGAGCTGGAACTGAACAGCCCGCCCAGCGCCGTGGTCGCCAGAAACACCGTCAACGTGTCCACGCTGGTGCTGGCGACCACGGCGATGCGATCGCCCTTTTTGACCCCTCGGGCTCTCATCGCCTGTGACAGCGTGCCCACCCTCTGCCGCAGTTCCTTCCAGGACACGTGATGGATCGGTTCAAGGAAGCTGCCCTCTCGCACCTCGGTGCAGGCGATCTTGTCGTCGGCTTTGGCGGCGTCGATGACCGGGTTTCCATGTCCGTCTCCCGAGAAAAGGATGTTCTGGGCGAAATTGATCGTGACGCCCGGGAACCAGCGCGGGATCGAGTCCATCCGCGCAGTTTCGTTAACGACCGGGTTGGGGATCTTTCCGCTGTACACGATAGGGAAGTATTGGAAGACATGCCTCCAGAAGTCGGAGTTCTGGGTGATGGAGTAGTCGTAGAGTTCGTCGTAGTTCTGCATGTTGCAAAAAGGTCTGAATTAATACTTCGGATTCCGTCAACCTGGGCACATACATGGAGACATACCTCAAACTTCCGGCCCGTGGCATTCTCCAGACTCGTCTTGAACTTCCACATCTGCGTGCTCTTGGGATCAGGATGCTCCCACAACTTGCGCGGTATCGAGTGTTCATGTGCCTCTGCCATCGTGTCGGTCTTGCTATTTTGGGCCTTTTATAAGGTATATCGATGTCGTCCGAGAGTAGACCAGGTCGTGCAGAAAAGCAATGTAATTCAAACTGGCTCTTTTCTCCTTGGACTGTGAATCAAATGCAAATGACGATTGCCGCAGTGATCAGGGTCAGATCGGTCCACAGATAGACAGAGATTCTTTCTTGACTGATAATATAATATATACTGACCGTACCGCACCAATTCCGTCGAAAGAATGTATATACTCTTTCTCCTTAAAGTGTAAGGATGAATATACCTCAGTGTAGAGCGAGACCAGTCCTCGAAGCTGACGCTGACGCTGATGTCTTCCTCAGCAGGAATAGAGAGGGTAATGGTCCTCCGATCAGTGATCTCGCGGGATGTTGAAGTGAGTACCTCGCACCGTATAGCCTCGGTAAGGTCCCTGAACGTTCAACCGCCGATGGGGCTCGTCCCCCGATATTGTCCCACAAAAATGCCGGGGCCGGCTTCCGAAAACAAACAACTTCGCGGAGATCGGAGGTTGAGCGGGCGGGGGCGACGAAAGAAGGACAACGGTTAGAACTCTAGAGGGATCAGAACTACCCGCCTACCAAACAGTATGAAGTACCAGCGTACGGTCTCCCGAGTAGGTACCAGGTAACTAAACTGTTATGAAGACTAATCTGCGGGTCAGTCTGCAGTGTTTTGGTGAGAACTGTCACGGATATTCCAATGCATAGTGGTTTCACGGAGGAGACGGTAAAGCCGAGATATAGACAAGTGCATTCACGAATCCTCGCCCTCTAGAGCGAAACGTCCGGTGGTGAGGAACAATTGACTAACAATAATATCCATACTGTTGTCAGGGCTCATGCCCATCCCAAGCCAGCCTTACGTGTCTCCTGTATGAATATCCCCCGGCCCGCTCCGGCGACCAGTGAAATGGCTTGTGTCTTCAGGTATTGCCAGATCCTCCATGGTTCATGTGATGCGTTGATGGATCCTTCCTGGCATCTAAGGCCTGTGAATGAATATCTGATGCAAACTCGGAAGGCTCCTCATAATTTGTGCTTGTGCTGCGCCGCGCGGTGGTAGAGTATGCCGGCGGACCATCATCAGTTGAGACAGAAGCGGCCTCAACCACGGGTAATTCAATCGGCCTCCCAACCAAAATCGACGAGGCACCCGGCCTAGGCGATCGTTTCACCCACTTCTTCATTTCGGGCAGAAACACAGGAAGTGCAAACCCGCGAATCCTCCTGTCCTTTTGAACTCGTTGTTGCTCTGATGTTTCTCTTCCACCCACGATAGAAGGGTTCCCTGCCATGAGTATTGCCACCCTCCTCCTGAGTTCATCATCCGGCATCTGCGTCTCGTCCTCAACCAACGTTCGAGAGGACCACGTCCGTATGGTAGAGGTGCCACGACTCGGGCGGTGGCCACGAACATCGCCCAGAGTGGATTCCTTGTCATGTTGACTTCGACGCCGGCGTTTGCAATATCTAGCGATGTAGACACCCACACCCACAATCACACAACCGAGGCTGATCAAACCACCCAGGACAAAGAAAAGAAGAGTGATATCGACGGCATATGTGTCGGCTGCCTCGGGAACCATGATTCTGCGCAGAAGCATCACCGTTTTGCACCGAGCTGGTGTGAGTTGACCGGGGATTGTGGAACGGACAGGCTGGTAAAAGGCTGGCGAATAAAAGTTTGGTCGTTGACAGGGATTCGGTCCGTGATGTAACACGCAAGGTAAGACAAGAGTGAACGACTGAGGTATCAGGAGAGAGTGTATGTTGTGTAGACGGACTTCAATGCAATTAAAGAATAGGACTTGACACAAAAGGGGTCGTGAAATGCCAGAGGACACTGTAACCCACTAAACGGTAACTGTGGATGAAGAGACCGTAAAATGCAATCGGAGGAGAGTAAGTCAACAGGCATACGATGCTGTAGCTTGTAGGTCCGCTTTCCCAAGCAGTTGCGGTTCGCCATCGTTCTTGACAACGTTTAGCAGCACGCCAAACACCGGTTGAACAAGTTCTTTCCTGTCCGCGAAAGTTATATACACTGCCACCCCAATGGAGACGGCCAGTTTGTGAAGGTGGTTGTCTGGAGGAATTCTCTCCTCTTCGAAATGCATTCTTGATAGAACTGAAGTTGAGATCCCTATACTTTTACTCCAGTGAAGCCGCGGCGGCTGTATCGTCTGATACATTCCGTCTTCTGCGTCCGACCGGGTCATCCCTCACCTCGACTCCCGGTCCGATCGAATGAGAGCTCCGGTGACGGGGCCATACCTGAAAACGCATTCTGTTAGCATCAAACACCACCGAACGAAGCCGCCCTTATGAGAAGGAGTAGTTGGATCCCGTTGGCTCTTACATTTGTCCCGTTCCAACCTAACCGGAAGGCAAACTCATGAGCCAGGAGTTCACCAAAACCTAACATCATGCCATTGACAAAGGGCAATAGAAGATTTATGGCAGCTCCTCTTAAGATCCCCCAGATTGTGGGAGGTTGATATATTATCACCGGTTGAGTTCCGTTGTTGTCTGAGGATTGAGGCGGCGAAGAAGAAGGGGGAGATAATGAGGAATATGCTTCGGAGTCGGAGGGAATGGTCAATTGAGACGCAGAGAGATCATGGGGTGGAGAGGGTGACTGTTCGGATCGTGAAGCCATGATCGACGGAGATGGAGGTGTTGAGAACGACGATTCAGCTCGAGGGAGATATTGAGGGGCGTTCAAGGAAACTGCACAAGCTCATGCATTGTAAGAAGTGGAGGTCACTGAAGGGGATATTCAGAGATAGAGAAACAGAGATGCTCGCGGAAAGCAGTAAGGGATTCGATGGCCGCGTCCTTGTACACAGTATACAGCGGTTGGTGATGAGCGGGACATTCATCAGTTATTAGAGGTAGGTACTGTTTGTGCTCTACTATACTAGTAGTAGCTGGCAGTTGGCGACGATTTCTTTGGATGCCAGGCACAAATCCAACCCACCGCCAATCACAGGTGTGTTACATAAGAATTGCAGGCTTCTCTTAGTGACGTACCGCTACTACTGCGTACTAATTCACGAGTTAACAGCATTCACCAACTTGAATACCTTCACCACCTTTGCCTCGCAATCAAGACCAAGTCACCTCTGTGTCATAAAGGATTTATCCCGCCGCTGTCTCGGCCTTGTTGTCCACTCAGTCTTCCTCTAGCCTTGGTTAACGTTGTTTCTCCGACTAACAGACCAATCTTTGAGACTTGGGGATTCTTTCTGCCTCCTTCCAACCCCTCCCAACTCTCCGTTGATCTTGTCTCATCATTCGCATTCACCATGGCCGACGCTCCAGACCACGATACGCTGATAGCACAATTCTCTACCATCGTTGGAACAGATCCTAACCAGGTTTGCTGACCCTTTTCTTGTCGATGGTCGAAGCTAACTTTTCCGCAGGCTCGGGAATATCTCGCCGCAAACGAATGGAACCTCGAAACCTCCCTTGCAAACTATTACGCTGCTCAGGACGACCCGGTCGATGATTCGAGCTCAGACTACGTTGAAGACGATGCCCCAGCCACCACAAATCAATCTCATCCACAATACGGTCTCGGTCGAAGGCTAGGAGAAGGCCCATCTGATCCCCAGCCAATTCCCGTTGCTCCTGTTTCGGCCTCCTCTTCACAACCAAAGAAGGCCTCGTCTGCACAGAAGAAGAAGTTTGCTACATTAGGTGACGTCGGAGCAAGCGGTGCGAATGGGGATGACTCTGATGACGACGAAAAGCACGATCTGTTTGCGGGAGGTGAAAAGTCAGGTTTGGCGGTGCAGAACCCGGATGACCTCAAAAAGAGAATTTTGGAAAAGGCTCAGAAAGCTGGGCCACCGCCAAAGGATACGGCGTCGTCCAAGAAATCCCACTTCACTGGCTCCGCGCGCACATTGGGAGGCGACGATGCTCCATCAAGAGAGATTCCTGCAGCCCCTCAGCCGAGGGGTAGGGCAGAGCGTGTTGAGCGTACTCTTCACTTCTGGCAAGATGGCTTCAGCGTTGATGATGGCGATCTCTATAGGGTCGACGACCCAAGAAACGCCGAGATCCTCAACTTGATTCGACAGGGACGGGCACCATTGAATATCATGAATGTGCTGCCGGGACAAGAAGTGGATGTCGAGATCAAACAACACGAGGAGAAGTATGTCAAGCCCAAGAAGAAGTTCCGACCTTTTGATGGATCTGGCCACCGTCTGGGAAGTCCGACCCCTGGGATACAGTCAATGCCTGGTACTTTCACCGCAGAATCCAGCGCACCAGCTGCTACCGCATCAGGGGCTTCGGCTGCTCCCACGGTTAACATTGACGAGTCAAAGCCCACAGTCACATTGAGAATCAGCTTAGGATCAGGCACGCGATTGACATCCAGGTTTAATACGACCCAGACCATTGGCGATGTGTATGACTTCGTTCAGCGGGCCGAGCCAGGTGGTAGGAACTTTGTTCTGCAAACTCCCCTCCCGATCACCGAGTTGACGGACAAGACAAAGGTGCTGGGGGATATGGCAGAGTTCAAGAGAGGAGGGGCTGTGGTTCAGAAATACGTCTGAAGGTCGTCAAAAGGCACTGAACTAGACGGCGCACTATCTTATCCTAGGTCTCTGAGATGTCGATTGACATTTCGCACGCAGTGACAGGACGCTGCTGATACAACAACGAGACATGGGCCTGATGAAAGCATCCGGAATGACGAGAATAGAGATAGATTGTCTACGATAATCCACATTAAGTGACCCAGACTGTGCATCCAATAGACTTCATGATAAACTCGGCGCACCTTCCCATTAAAAAGTATCATGTTATATTTTCTACCACTGCATAGTAGTACGTAGTATTCAAGCTTCACCATTGATTCGTGTTGGGTGATACGAAGCGCAGCAGTCAGTGCCGTGCCTACAATGTCGTTATCCCAGGGACTGAGGTGGTCCGGTCGAGGTATAGGCAATGTGCGGCAAAGATTAGTTATTGGATCGCGAGAGGTGCGGCATGTAGGTGATCATTTCGACCATGTTCAACGAGTTACAGACTGATCGTTCAGTTCTCTCTGCATACTTCCCGAGTCGCGCGTCCGACAACAAGGGTGACACGAAGCCCGGCCGCAGCGGGCCTAAAGAGCTCACACCAGACTCGCTCACTATCACTGTTCGGCTGGGGAAGCAAGCAGAATCCTGAACAGGCTGCGGCCGCCCAACCATCTTTGACGGAGACAGCTGCGCCAGCGTCGGGCTCGAGCCAAAATGTTGTCGAGACAGCCCGGACTTTCAAAGCGTCGCATGCAACCTCCGAGACTCCCGACCTCACTTTCACTCATCCTCATCCGGTCAGCGCTGCGGAACCGGAAGCTCTCAGAGATTTGGAAAACGCAATACTTAAACCCCACGGGGCTACGCCTCCTATAGACACGGTGGACGCGACGCCAGATTTAGCCTCGATTCCGGAGGGGCTTGGGTATTTGAAACACGTGTGCGGTCTCGACTTTGGTTGGGGACCGACGGCCATGTTGGAAGTTTTACTGGAGCACCTCCACATCACGGCCGGGCTATCTTGGTCTGCGTCGGTCGTAGGGCTTGCGTTCCTGGTCCGCCTCATTACTCTTCCAGCATTTATTGCTGGGAGTGACCAGTCTGCAAGGCTGCGAGAAGTACAAGGGGTGGTGTCACCACTTCGTGCCGAACTCCAAGAGGCGCTTCGGACCAACAATCGACAAGTGGCGATGGAGAAACAACATGCCCTGAGGGCGATCAACAAGGAATACGGCATCTCTCTTCCCAAAGCATTTGGCGGTCTTATGCTGCAGATTCCTCTGGGGTTTGGAGCGTTCCGTCTACTGCGCAATGCTGGAACACTGCCTGTGCCCGGGTTCGAGTCGGAACACTTTCTCTGGTTGACCAACCTCTCACTGTCTGATCCGACATACATCCTGCCATTAATGATCGGGGTCATGACCTACTACAATTTTAAGATCAGTCAACGGGCCTCCGTCAACAACATGGGGAACATAGTGCGGATCCTCACCCCACTCCTGCCCATCGGTTCATTCGTCTGTCTTGCGTTTCAACCGGCCGCCCTGCAGTTATACTTCTTGGTCAACAGCATCTTCACTCAGTTCCAGTCCATGTTGTTGTACAACTCGGCGTTCCGAAAATGGGCGGACCTGAGACCGCTCCCGCCGCGCGGCCAGCCTAACTCGCCCACCTCGACGAGCTTCTCCAAGATGAACGTGGCCCAGAAGCCTGCGGTGGTTGTCCAGCCTACTCCAGCGAAGCCAGTGAAGCCAGTCACGGACCGCAGTGTCATCGACAAGGGCGTTGATCTGGTCAAGGAGAAGGGACAACAGGCATGGAAGAGTACGCTTGGCAATATGAGTGACACCTGGCAGAAGGAGAAGCTGAAGAGGATCGAAAAGGAGAAGCAGGAGAAACGCGCCGCTGCGGTGGCCAAATACGAGGCCCAACGAAGGCAAGATCTGGAAGAGCAAAGATACCAGCGAAATGCCGGCGCTGTGGGACCCATGCGGATCGACAAGAACTCGGAGGCGCCCTTGGCTTCCAGAAGGGAAGACGCCAACTGAAGCTTGTCATATCTGGCACAATATCTGGGAGCTCGTCACCAATCCGCTTGAGATATGGCCTGGTACCCAACCACACTGTTCCTGGTCTTCTCATGGCTGGTTACGGGCTGCTCGCATGAAAATGCAGCATATCAATGCGAGCCGCCGCAGCGTCAACAGGAGCGGTTCTGAAGCGGTCAATCCATCAGAGCACCCGCAAGCTGGGAGAGACCAGTGGAGTCACAAGTGCGAGCATCTCCGCGCGTGGAACTTCTGTACACTTTATCCCATTCCCTCGAGGTCCATGCAGTGTGATACGGACGAAGGGTTTGGCTCTGCTGGCCGTTGTACATTGACCAAGGGGATATTTTAAAGACCGAGGGGTCCTCCATGGCGGTGGCCCGCCCAATCGTGGATTCGAGGGTTACTGGATCATAGGTGCAGCTACGAAGCCTCCGATCTCCTTTCTTGTTCGACTGTGTATTATCTATGTCTCCGGCCAAAATGGAATGTTTGTTACCATGTCACAGGATTCTGTCCATTTCTTGGATCCAGTGTGGAATGACTGAACAGGAGCAAAGCAGCATACACTAAAAAGGTGTCAGATGTGAGCTTTTTGGGTCTTGCTCATGACAAAAACATATCATGTTAGACATTCAAGATAACATCAACACAGCGTTTTGACCACTCCATCGCTGATAATGTACAAACCGCCGGCTCTATGCAACACGGATGTCAACCAACATGACACCAAAGGTCTATAGCAAATGTCCTCCGATAAAATAATCAAAGTCGTTATCGAATATAATGCAATGAGCCAAGGATGGCCTTCGAGATAACCAGAGCGAGAGGGAAGCTCTGCTTTGATGTCGAAACAGCGGCCTCTGAAGGTTGGCCACCATGTAAACACCGCTTCACTTCATGGACAAGTCTCGACGGCATGAGGCTGTGATGAGGCTGTGATGAGGCTGATGTCGGATCGGCTCGACTTGTTAGACATGTAATGTAGACTGGGATGGTCCTCGGGTGTCGATCGACGCCTTCAAAGGCAGTGTCTGGCTTGGGTACGGCCGATTGTGGACTGTGGAGGAGGACTTTCGTCATACCGGGAGAACAAGACTCCATCCCAGACAGCTACCATGCGGTGTAGCCACCGTCGATAATAAGCTGGACATTAGCACGACTCCGACAACCACGACGGACTCATGGAAAGAGAGCTTACCTGAGACCCAGTCATGAAGGTGCTAGCATCGCTCAAAGCGAACAGAGCGGCTCCTCTGTATTCATGAGGTTCAGAGATTCGTCCGAGCTGAAGCACCCGTTAGCATACCATCTCTCCATATTACTGGATGAAACGGAGGCTGACTGACCATGTTTGCTCGCTCCCACGTCTCTCTGAGTTTCGGGTCATCCTCGAAATTCTTCGACACCATAGGTGTGATGATATTGCCTATAGGATGGGCGGTCAGCTTTCAAGAGCCATAGCCCGTCACGGCAGACCACATACCAGGACACAGAGCATTGACTCGGATAGGCTTGCCATTGACAACCTTCCCCCATTCCATGGCCAGACTCCGGCTCAGTTGGCAGACTGCGGCTTTGGAGGAGTTGTAGACAGACGAGGTGAGGCCCTTGTTGGCGACCAGGCCGCTCATACTGGCCACCAACAAAATCGAGCCGCTGCAATTGTACTTGATCATCTGGCGAGCACAGCTGACGGCCGTGCAATAGACACCTTTGTAGTTGATGTCCATCATGTCCATGATCTGGTCTACAGGATACTCGAGTGCGGGAGTCACATTCTGCACGGCAGCGGCGGTGATGGCGCCATCCATCCGCTTGTGTCGGTCGGCGATTTTGGAAATGACCTGATCCACGCTCTCGGCTTCACGCACGTCGATCCTGTCGTAGAGCAGCTCGCCGCCGTATTTGGGACCCAGCCGGTCCTGGACGTCCCGGAATTCCTGGTCCGGCTGGGGCAACCGGTCCAAACAGTACACTAGATGCGCGTGAGTGAGACATGGCACAGAAACAAGAAGATATCAGGACCGTCACTTTACCTTTCGCCCCAGCCTCGACTAGCGCCTCGGCCAATGTTAAGCCGAGGCCACGTGCGCCGCCGGTCACGACAAAGACCTTGTCATGCAGGTCAAACTCGCTTAGCCGTTGATTCGTGCGGTTAGGGTCTGGCAGCTTTTCTTGGATTGAGGGAGCATCTGCAGTAGCCGAGCGGTCTCGGGACGTATGTCGGTTCTGTTGGTCTACCGGCGACCGCAGTGGACCAAGAGAAGAGAATGGTCGCTGCTTGCTGTAGGTTTGAGCTATCGAGCGGGCCGAGGGAAGACAAGTCCGCAACATGCCCCCCTGTATTCGGAGTACATTTGCAGGCATGGTGGCCGTAATTAGGGGATACTATTATTCGTGAAAGACAGAAGTCGACGGATAGGAGACAAGAGACAAGACGGTGATGGTGTAGCGTCAGGAACAACCAGAGGATGACCAGGCTTGAAGAATATTGTAGAAGGATGAGTTAGAAATAGGTTGAGGTCTGATTAACGATAGTCAGGAGCAAGCAGCATTTGCCAGGCAATATCGAGGGCGACGTCGATTGGCTGGAACAGGATCGGGCTGCTGAAGCTGATGTTATATATATTTTTATGATTGTTGTACTTGTGTCAGCGCTGTGATATAATGATGCTGCCGTAGCTGCTATCAAAGTTGTAAGGGGCATGGTATGACGTTGTAGCTGGACGCCAGAATGACGGCGGAGTCTGAGACGATCATTTCAGATTTTTGGTACGTACTCTGTAGAGGAAGGTGGTCAAGGCTGAATCTGGGTATGGGTCGGTTCGATAGCAGCAGCGGCCACAGATGACAGAGATGGTCTCACCATGGATATCATTACAGTATACAGTAGTATGTCATGTCACTGTGGCTGGTATTTTTGATGGAAATGGGAACCGGGGATGGCGAAGGAGATGGATATGATGGGAAATGGATGGATGGACAGTCTAGAGATAGGCAGATGCAGTTACTACCTATAGTATAAAGATCTACTAATACTAGTAGCATCTACTAGATTGGCCTCTGGAAATCTGTACTATCACTTGGTCGCGACTGCCTGCCTGAAACATCACAGGCTGGCACCTTCCGCCGCAAGGAGCCTCAACTGGCAACGACGTCAAAGTTCCCCGCATTTAGTCTCCACCCTGATTCGTGCTGCGTTTTGAGTCGTCGGCCGCTTGGCCATGCCAGCCAATCGGATATTTTAGCCGCCTGCAGTGGAACTGTGCTTCCGTCACAATGGAGTTGAAGTTGATGGAACAGCGCAGGCAAAAAGTAGAAAAGACCTGTTTCAGCTTTCAGCCACCGCAGTGATTGTCAGGGCCAGTGGCTGCGACTGACGTTGTGTTGATTGATTGATTGTTGAATATCGCTGATCTCGCTGGATCCATTTTCTCACCACTTTTCCACCATCCTCCTGGTCTTCCTCCATACCGGCTGACTACCTCACCTACTCGTACTGTGACTGCAGTGTCTTCAAGTCGTAGCACAAACGCGGTAATCGGTGCTACAGAACCCTGAAACCCTGATACCCTGAAACCTTGAACCTGGCGGCGAGATTACCGTGGTACTAGTATCCAAATCGGTACCCAGCCTTGCCACTGCCAGTCAGATCTCACGTTGATGATCGTTTCGTCAACACCTTCGTCACCCGGATACAATACCCGGCCCCCAACGCCGTCAGAATGTGCCACCAACCGTGCAATTCCAACGCAAACGCCCACGGCAGCCCGAGAGAGCTCCGCATCTCTCGAAGCCAGCCACAGGCCGCGCCGTCGATCAACCACACCCCGAACCCGGCCAGAAAACAGAAGCCGCCCACGCGAAACCGACCGATCCAGTAACTTTTCTCTTCACCCTGGAAGCGATGGTAGATGAGGTACAAGACGCGTGGCCAGATGGCTGTGACCAGGAGCCCGAATGTCATGTTGTGCAGCCAGAGCTGGTACATGCTGTAGTGAGCTGCGCTGATGGCGCCCAGGACCAGGGTCAACGTGGAGCCGAACACCAGGCTGAACGTGGGGGACCGGTCGATGGTGTACAACTCATAGATGATGGCCGCGCAGACCCAGAACATCGAGAGGTCGTCACATATCTGGGTGCCGTATTTCAACGTCACGTGGTACGCGAACGATGCCACGCCCACCACGAAAAGGGCAAGATTGGGAAACGCCGTGGTCGAGATCAGACTTTCTCCGGGCGCGAGCGTCTTGAAGGCCCAGTACACTAGATCACCATGTGGTCAGTCGAGTTCGCCTTGCTTGGTATCTATCACTTCGATCCGATGAGGGCCTCAAGCTGTGCCTAACAGCAGAAGATACCGGATATGCTTTCCTCAAGGGACCTACTAGTAGGCAAGTACACTTACCATAAGCAAGATTGGTGAAGCTGTTGACGAGCTCGGCTATCCAGTAAGTGACACCATAGTCTTCTTCACAAAAGCTACATGACAACATCTCACAGTCAGCGAATTGGGACTTTTGGATACTTGGCTCTCCTAGGTACCCTTGCTGGCAGGATCAGGGACAGTGACAGGGGTTCCTCACTTGGCTACCGACGTCGGCGGTCCCCAATATCCATACGGCGCGTGAGGATCGCCAGCGAAGTTGCGCTCCACGTGAACCATCGTTGCAAGACTGAACTGATCGAAATGTTTATGGTTGCTGGTAAGTCTCTCGTAGGTAGGTAGGTATCCAGGTAAATGTTGCAAGTAGATGTTTTTGTCTCAGATCCGATACAGGGATCCGGTCCAATCCGCCCAGGGCTCGAGGAGTTCAGGTACTCGGTGGATAGATGGCCGAAGGTCTGAAGAGAATTTCGATCGATGCCTCTCAAAAGCTTGTCGAAGCAAGGCGTCTACTTTAACAATTGATAGTAGAATGTTGGCCGGTGCCTCAGTGTGACGAAGGTCGGGTTGCAAACTCGAGGCTTAGGGGAATTGTTGTTATAATCAATGTACAGAGTATGTCCCTGCAGAACGTGCGTGTCCTTTATTTTCCTCCTTTCCACGTTGCCCAACTAATAGAAAAGGACCAACGCGGAACCTAGGGAACCTTTGACAGGTGCCTGGGCTAATAAGGAGGCTACCTTTTAGTACAGAGTTGACAGCAGTTCCAGGGGCCGTTAATAATAATAGCTGCCTGGTTGCGTATTTCGTATCTCGCAAGCCTCAGAAGTCTCACCACTTACATGCCAGGTATCTACTTGAAGGAGCAAGAATGAGATATACACAAGACACAAGACAGTGATTCCTTTCGTCCCCTATGAGCATCATCATCCTCTTCTTTCTACCCTATTCCGTACCTATTATCAACCTAGTAGGCCTTTACCTCAGGTATGAAGTATCTCTATCTACACGCAACGCACAAGATAGACGTGTCTACCCGATTCGACCAGGCAAGAAAGAGGAACAAGCAGTAAGGTAGGTAGGTATTGCGCCAGGCAGGTTATGTTTACGGTCCAGTATCCCCCTTCCTCTCTTCGAAAGCCCATCTCACAACTCACCGCAGAGCTATATATATATATATATATATATACTAGTACGCTAAAAGAAATATCTATCTCACTCTCACTCTCACTCTCTTCTCTCTCACTCTCACTCTCACTCTCTTCTCTCTCACTCTCTCTCAACCCCAGTCTCCTTCTATTTCAACATAACCCTCAACCCCTTCGACTCCAGCGGCGGAAACGGCGAGAAGAAATCATGTTCGATCTCCAGATCCCTCCTGGCCGTGTGGTACAGGTCGGCATCGAAGGCGTGGAAGACATTCGCCACCGTCAGATACAGATTCATCAGCGCCAGTTCCTTGCCGATGCAGCTGCGGCCGCCGCGGCCAAATGGGACAAAGTATTTCTCGAGGCGTTTCAGTTCGTCGGGTCCCACGAGCCATCGTTCGGGCTTGAAAGCCAGCGGGTCCGGGTAGATGGTTTCGGCGGTGTGGTTGGCGCGGATGGCCATGCTAATCACCGTGCCTGGGGGGAGGACGTATGATTTGGATTCGGTATCTTTCTGCCGCTTCGAGTTTGAGTCGTTGATCTTGCCGCTGGTCTTCTCGGAGGTTGTGGTCGAGGTGGATGTATTATCATTCTTCGCCTCACTCTTGTTGTTGTACGTCCATACATTCCTTCGGTCGACGCGAGCTAGCCTCCCAGAAACGCTGTTCGACAGCCGTAACCCCTCGTTGATGACGGCTGTGAGATACGGAAGATGTCTGATCGTGGCGTAGTCGGCTAGAGGGTTTTCCAACCCCTTGGTAGCTTTGCTCGCAGTCTCGGCCAGTTCTTGCTTCAGTCGACGCCGGACTTCCGGGTTCGCGAGCACATGGAATGTGATGGTCTCAAGGGCGATCCCGGTGGTCTCGCTCCCGGCACCGACGAGCGTGCGTGCTTCCTGCGTGAGTCGGTCCACTGTCTTGTCGCTTTCGGGGATGGCGTCCGAGTTGACGATGCCGTCGAGGACGGATTTGTCGCTTCGCTTCTCCGCGTGGGCGGCTTCTGCTGCTTGACGGGCGAGGTCCTGCGTGAGTTGAATTCCAGCATTAGCGTTCTCTCTCGTCGACAATTGCAAATTTATGGTATGCCATGTTATCCAACAGCGAACAAGGACAAGTCGGTCACTTGGAACCAGGCACATCGCCTCACACCCAGGAACGAAAGAATCAGTCTTGCTCAAAATATAGCCCAGACGAAGCATTCACTAGTACAACAGGAGTCAGGTGCCGGGATTACTTACCGCTTGAAAGTCAAAAGCCATCTTCCCACCCTCGGTGGAAGTCATCTCGACGAACCATTTCGGCATGCGCATGAACAGCGGGATGATGATGGGAATGTGTCGATGCCAGACGGCAATATACGAGATCGTGCGAGCCTGGCGGTTATAGTCGTCGGCGAAATCGATCGAGTCCAACAGATTGAAGCCGCGGGGCATGCAGTAGTCGGTGACCGAGTCGGCGGCGAGACAGCGAAAGGCATTGGACAGATTGACGGGTTTGCCTTCCTTGCGCATCCCCTCGAGCCGTCGACACAGCTTGGCCACCTTCTCCCGCGACGACGACTCGAGACTGGAAATGGCCGAGTTGGCGAAGAACCGGCTCATCGCTTTCCGGCGGGCGCGGTGGAGGTCGACATTGGCGGTGCCGAACCCGGCATCCTGCGAGGCCACAAAGGCATAGTACCACGGATCTTTGTCGAGACGGCTGGTCACGTTGTAGAATTCGTCGAAGAAGTCCGGGTCATTGATGTGGACTTCATTCGGACCGATTCGGACGATTGGACCTGTTTGGGTTGGGCATGATGTTAGACCATGTGTATTGTGGATGATAGGAACAAAGCGACTGAAAACAAAGATGGTGATGTGTGTGATTCTAAGCAGGAACTCACCATAGATCTTATGCAATTCCTCGATCTTGAACACAAACTTCCCGCCCAGAATGCAATCATAGTAGAAGTCATACAGGCGTGAAATGGCAGCCAACTTGGGCCCCGGGACCTGAGACAGTGGATGGAAGTACAATCGGTACAGGGCGACAGATGCGATGCCAGCAACACTGACCAAAGCCAATAAGATGGGCACGGTCAGGTAAGCAAACAACTTGAACCCCATACTGTGATACTGTGATACCGTGAGACTGCCAAATTGAAGCGCACTTCAATGGCTGCCGACGGGAGCTTTGGCTGTTGCGTTACAATGCGTGCGTGCGCCCTGGGGAAAGGACACCACACCCCGGAAAACAGGAATGGATAATCGGATTCACCTCACAGCTGAGTAACAACCGTGCCGGTGTGAAATGAAGCCTGACGCTGGGGGGAGGGTTTGAGAAAGCGACCAGCGAAGACTGACCTCGAGCACTTCCACTTCAGCACTTCGTATCATGCGATTGCGAAACTGCCTGCGTAGTACTGTATGAGTATGTCGGCTTGCACCTAAGTTACTAGTAGTAGCTCTGGGAGCTAGAAGCTCTGACAGCCTATGAGTGTGACCGGCTTCTCAGATCACTACTGGAGGGATGCCCCGACCCTAGTGAAGTGTAGGTCTCACAAGGCCATGGCTAAGAGACAACCTAAGAGTGCGGTGCCGGGAATGGTGCCAGGAGAGGACAAGCACCATGCTTGATGTTCGCATCTGAAGGATAGATAGTGAATAGATAGATAGATAGACAGAAAGTATATGTAACCTGGTCTGGGCTCTCAACCGTCTAGTCTGTCCACTGACAGGATGCCAGTTTCTCAGCCCCTGTCACGGTAGAGTTATAGTCCGTTATAGTGCCAGCTAGCAACAGGGGAGACAGGCAACTCGCTTCCGGGGTGGATTGGTGGATTTTGCTGGAGTCAGTGCTGAGTGGGAATACTAACTAGTAGTGGTGCTTCGGGGGCAGTAAGTACCTAAGGTATAGGGAGTACTACCTACAGCACCTGGGTATCATGTATCATCCCTTTATCCCTACAACCATGTTGCATCGACTCCGGTGAGATGCATCTGCTACCCATCACAGAGACCGGCTACTGGTTGGAACTCTGACTGTGCTTCTATTCGTGCTTCGGCTTCTGCAGAAACGAGGATCGACTGCCATGTGCTTTCCGACATGACACATGGCGAACCGGGCCGAAAACTCTTGAGTATTGAGGCCGAAGAACCTGTTATACCTACAGACAAGTTGACTCGAGGCTGAACAGACTGCAAACCAGAGGAGCGATATATGATGATCATATATGAGAGTAATGTGATGGGTGCCTCATCTGTTCAACACCCCCAGCTTCATTCATACCCATGTGTTTATACCGTAGTACTCTCTGTAGGCGCCTCTCTCATCTTTTTCCTTTTCCCCAGGCTGAGTCCGTGCCCCTCCAGCTCAAGACTCTCGCTGTTCGCGGACGCGCGGACTCGCAGATGAGATGATCGTGGGTGGTTCTAGGGTTGGTCTCCGGCTCTAGTTCCGCGGCTGATCAGTTAGCGGTGGTGGTGGTGGTGGTGGTACAAGCCTGTCGTCTACTTACTATCTTCATACCCTCCCGAGCTCCCTAGCTCCCTGGCCCGCCCAGTAGCCCAATTGTCCAGTGGCCCAGTACGTAGCTCTGTAGAGCAGGATAGCGCGGAACATGCCCATCCACATCCACTGCATCTCAATCAAGTGCGTGCGTAAAAGATATCGTTCGTATGTGTCAGTTCTGTTCTCACGAGATTGATTCCATTCCATCATCGCACGAGGTTCCTCTTCCGGATGCTGTGTGAGCCAAAATCCCTCGAGGTATCTTCCGCCGTGATACATCACTCTCAATATGAGCATGCGCGACATATAACATAAAGCGACATCACCCTGCCCGCATCGCATCGCATCAATCGCAACACAAAGCGTCAATCTTCCAACAACGAATCGAATTCAAATCCCATGGCTACCACTGGCATCGCGCACGACAGCGACGCGGATTCCGCATACGGAGACAGCCTCTTTAGCGAAACGACGTCTCTCTCGTCCAGCGTGTTTGAGTATCAATACGAGAACGGACGGCGGTACCACTCGTTCCGCGCCGGCAAGTATTTTGCGCCCAACGACGAACGGGAGCAGGAACGGCTGGATCTTCTGCACCATGTGCAGTCGATCGTGCTGGGCGGCGAACTGCACAAGGCGCCAGTGGACAATCCGGCGCGCATCCTCGACATCGGGACTGGCACCGGCATCTGGGCTATCGACATCGCCGACAAATTCCCCATGGCCGAAGTCATCGCCACGGACCTGTCGCCCATCCAGCCGTCGTGGGTGCCGCCGAACCTGCAGTTCCTGGTCGACGACTGTGAGGCCGACTGGACCTTCACGCAGCAGTTCGACTGGATCCGCATCGGAAACATGGGCGGCTCCATCGCCGACTGGCCCCGACTGTTCCAGCAGTGCATGGACAACCTCAAGCCGGGCGGCTGGCTGGAAGTCATGGACTTTGAGGCCTGGGGGTCCACGGACGATAATACCCTGCCGGAAGACAGTTCCTACCATCGATGGCAGGTCGAGCTCAGCAACGCGTCCAACAAGTTTGGGCGGGTCATGAATGTCATCCCGCACATCAAAGATATGGTGGTCGCCGCCGGATTCCAGGATGTCAACGAGGAGATTTACAAGGTAAGTGAGCTGTTTGTCCTTCGACGATGAAATCCCAGCGCTGGACATGGCCGAATTGATTCGATCTGACTGACTGACTGACTCTGTCGACTCTGACCTGCAGGTCCCGCTGTCGCCGTGGCCTAAAGATAAACGATTCAAAGAACTAGCCATGTACATGAACCTCACCATGACGGAGGCCGCGCCCGCGTACAGTCTGGCTCTCTTCACCCGCGTTCTCGGCTGGGAAAAGGAAGAGGTCGAGGTTCTCATGAGTGGGGTCAGAAACGATTTGAGGAATTTGAAGTATCACTTGTATACACGATTGTGAGTGGTTGACCTTGCCAACTTCCGAACCTCACTGACTGTGATCTGATAGGCATGTCGTTTATGGAAGAAAAGCATCATGATGGTTATGGCCACGTATATAACGATGGGACGGGATGGAAATTTGGGATCCGCGACGATTGTACATTCGAGGCTAGACAGCTGCTGGGATGAAAGAAAGATACTAGGAAGGGATGCCAGTCGGACAATCACACTGCTGTGGATATGATGTTCACGGGAAAAGCAATCAAGGAAATTATGAAGCTGTCCATCTTACGCTCCTGTGTTTTCGCCGGTAAAGAGAATCTGTTCGACGATTCCGCCCAGTCCCAAGCCATGTTATATCCTTGGGCCGCCACTTCACCCTGTCTGGGATCCCGTCCTCATCTAGAGAGTGCTTGACCATCCATCACCGTCGCAATCGCAATCGCACGGATGGCGCAGTCTCCTATGCAACCACATCGGCCTTCCTGCTTGAGGCATCACCGCCTGATCCGCCATCCAATGTCTCTCTACGCTGGGTGAGATCTGTGTAGATATCTAGCGTCACTATACTACTTACATAGGTACTCTACAGGTAGGTACATACATACCCAAAGATCTATCCTCCGTACCCTTGAGCCCTAACTCCGAAACCCCAAGACAAGCCAAGCCTTGAAACTCCGGGATACTGCTGTATAAACTCCAATCTCCTGCACGTCACCCAATGGCAGCCTCGCCTTGACCCGGTGATAAGGCCAGTTGATACTTGGACCCGCAAGGCTGTGGACTCCAGACTCCCTTTTTACTAATCCATAGTATTTATTATAGTCACATATTATGATCGTATGCCCTGAAATGGTGTTTTATACAACACATCCAACCCATACTCTGTTGCATACTACTATGCCATGTAAAAGGGGATATACTCTACGCCACACCCCCTGACCAACCCAGACTGCCACCGCCCACGTACTCACACAGTGGTTATCAGGCATCAATTCTTCCAATCCACCTTCTATTCCATTCCACACCAACCATCATGGCCCCCCAAACCATCCACCACCGCGCAACATCAATCCTAGTAATCGGCGCCGGCGAACTAGGCAGCGCCATCCTCGACTCTCTAACCACCCACCCGCTCTACAGCCCATCAACCACGAAAATCTCCCTAGCCGTCCGCCCATCAACGCTGACCAGCCCTACCCCAGAGAAACAGGCCCACCAGCACACCTATCGCGAGAAAGGCGTCCATCTCGTGCCCGCCGATCTCGAAGCATGGTCCGAAGACGATCTCGCCCGGATGTTGCGTGACGGACAGTATACTGCGGTCATCCATGCAGGCGGGTTCGGCGTTGGGGCGGGGACTATGTTGAAATTGACTCGAGCGGTGTTGAGTGCTGCTGCTGCCAACACCAACACCAACACTACCAACGGTACCGACACTGCCGACACCAACAACCCAGGAAGTGTCGGAAACTCAGGAAGTGTCGAGTACTACGTCCCCTGGCAATTCGGGGCCGACTACGACGCCATCACCCGCGCCGGCGGACAGGGCATGTTCAGCGAACAGATCGATGTGCGGGACCTGCTGAGGTCCCAGCAGAGAGTGGACTGGGTGATTGTCAGTTGTGGCATTTTTATGAGTTTTTTGTTTCAAGAGTTTTGGGGGGTTATGCAGTGCGAACGAAGTGAGCATGATCAAAAACGACGTGAGCATGGTCAAACACAAAGTGAGCATGAGCAAAAACAGAGTGAGCATCAGCAAAAGCAGAGTGAGCATCAACGCGAACAAAGTGAGCACCACCACGAAGGGAATGCTACCCAGAACCAGAACCAAGACCAATCTCAAGACAAGATCATCACAATAACAGCCCTAAACTCCTGGTCTGATTGGATCACCACAACCACAGCAACAGATATCGCAAAATGTACCGCCGAACTCCTCTACTGTCCAGACACACCCGTCAACCAACCCGTCTACATCGCCGGCGACACCTTGACATACAGCGAGTTCGCGGATGCGATTGAACGAGCCGTGGCCGATACCGATACCGATACCACAACTTCAACTTCACGCAAGTCCAATTCCAGTCACCACTCCAAACATACGCCACTTCTAGTTCGCAACGTCTGGCCCCTCGAGTATCTGCGTGAAGAAAGTCGACGGGATCCAGACAACCAGTTGAAACGGTACCGGGTCGTCTTCGCGGAGGGGAGGGGATTGAGTTGGCCCAAGGAGCAGACGTGGAGCTGGAAAAGGGGTATGAAGATGGAAGGCGTGGAGGAGTGGGTGAAGAAGAATTGGAACTGGAACTGGGGAGGACTGTGAAAACAAATAGTACAGTACAGTGGCATGGAAGGGGAAGGCACCAAAGGTGGAAAAAATGAGACTGAACCTGATGTCTACCTGGAGTGTATAGTATATATAGGTGGTTATAGGATAGTATATATCCAAGGAGGGCTCTCGTAGCAAGTATATTTCTTGAAGGTTATTGGATATGGTGTACTTGTTAACTATACTATTAGAGAGATAGTTTCAATAGAGCTGGTGGGCGTCAAGATAGAAAGGGATAGGTAGTGTATTAGTCGTTGATGAACGTCAGGATTAGATCATCTTATACTCTCTTTTGTCGGGGTGGACGACAAGAGTATAGACTCTAATAGTCTTGTTTACGAAGATGGGCGATAAGAGTATATCGCTGAATATACTCTTTAGCGGAGGTGGGCGACAAGACTATATTATCTAACACCCTCTTTCGCGCGGGTGAATAGCAGGAGTATATAATATAAGGCCTTTGTTCACTAAGATGAGCGACAAGACTATATCGTCTTACACCCTTGTTCGTGACAGCAGACGACAGACGTATATGATCTTATACCCTTATTCATAACGATGAGCGACCAGAGTATATTATCACACACCCTCGTTCGCGAAGGCAGATGACAGACGTATATGATCTTATACCTTTGTTCACTAAGATAGGCGACAAGGCCATATCGTTGATTGAACAGCCTCGTTTACAGGGGTATACGCCGCATACCCATCGCGATAGCATATTTTCATCCTACGATATCACAGATGCACGCTCCATGACCATAAGTCACCTAAAAGACCACCAAGTACATAATGAAGTGAATGTGAAACTGGAGTGAAGAGAGGAAGACTTGTCCTAAACTAAGCTAAAGAGCAGCCCAACAGGCTCTCCGCCACCGCCGCCAACCACCAGCCAAAAGACAGCAAGACCCTCTCCCAGCTCGTCTACGCCGCCACGCCGCCACGCCGCTGGTGGCTCTCACCAGAAGAGAGCTAAATGCCTCTCTCCTGGTTGGCCTCAGCGGTGTCCGACGACGTACTGTAGTACGTCGTGACGGGCGATGGCAGGCGTGGCAGCGCCTCCTCCTCGGTGCCGTAAACCCAGGCTGGCAGAGCCCGGGAGGTCGGGGAGTCGCTGACGAAAACGTCCTCCAGAGGGTTGGCGGAGAGGAAGAAAGGGGCAGGCGCACGAGACACAATCACGGTGCCGGTGGGAGAATTGTTGCCGCTATAAGCCACAGACGAAGCCAAAGACGAAGACGAAGAACCACCACCAATGGACGACGAGAGCTCGTACGAGGCCGCGTTCAGATCTTCCTGGCTGGGTCCGGCCGGGTTCATTGCCAGAGGATTGATGAAGACGCCGTAACGTTTCATTGCCTGTGAAGCTGTGCGGACGAGACTTCTTCGAGGGGTCGTGATGGGTGTGGTGTTGGCTGTCCGTCTCTTTCGTACGGTAAGCACTCCTTCTCCGTCGACTGGGCCGTTGATTGGACTGTCTGGGCCGAGGACACCGGTTTTGGTGGGGTCAAGGCTTGCGAATTGTCTCTTGATGTTGTCGATGTATGCTTGGTCGAACCAGTCGGCTTTTCTGGCCAGCTCGTCTGCTCGCTTTCGCTCTCTGCGACGGCTTCTCAACCAGTATCCGAGCGCGGCAAGGATGACCACGAAGATGAACGCGGTTGGGATGATGATTGATAGAAGTTTGATCATTCGAGCTTTGGCTTTGTGCGCTGCAGCTGCAGATTTGGTCGGGCTTGGAGGAGGAGAAATGGTGGAAGAACCAGTAGCTGGAGTAGTCTTGGTAGTAGTCGGAGCAGGTTTGGTAGTAGTCAGAGCGGTCTCCATGGTAGTCGGGGTAGTCTTGGTAGTTGCAGTTGAAGAGACAGTGAAAGATGTGACCGCAGTGACCGATTTAGTAGGTTCACTCGAGACCGATGCTCCTGGAGTCCAGGCAGATGAAGAAGACGAAACCGGAAGAGAAGTAGGTGCCGTAGCAGTGACCGATTTGATAGATTCACTCGAGACCGATGCTCCTGGAGTCCAGGTAGATGAAGCAGACGAGACCAGAAGAGCAGTGGTTGCCGTGGCAGTGACCAAAGAAGTGTCTGATTCAATGGTAGTAGTCAGGTCGACAGACAAGATTGAGCTGAACGAGTCCGTGATAGGAGGCCCGGTCATGGAAAGGACACTCCATGGCGGCTCCGCAGGAGTGTTGATACCAGTCAACGCATGGGTAGGCCAGGCTGACTCCACAGCGACGCTGTCGGTCTTGACTTGAGTTGTGAAGCTGGCACTGGGAGGCGGAGGGGCGAGAGTCGGAGCGAAAGGGGAGACGAGGCTTGCAAAGGTCAAGAGATTGGTGAGCGCCATCGTTTCTGCCAATGATACAAGACTTTGATTCGAAGAGAAGGTGAAGAGGGAAGGTGACTGTTGAAGGTTTCCAACTGCGGTGTGTCGATCTGTATCCGCCACTACCGTCTCTTCTCGAGATCGACAGCCTGTATCGACCTTGCGCTTTTGTGTGTTCGCTTGCTTGTCGAGGAGAAGGTGACACGCTCTGGTGAAGACTTGAACGGATGACAGAGGAGATGGAGGAGTTGGTGAAGAAGTGAAAGGTTGACGGTCTCAACTTCGAATGCTATTCAAAGTGGTCAGTAACTTGGAGAGAAAAAGAGGCGAGTTGACATTGAGAGCAGACTGTGAAGTAGAAACTCGACAACTCGTCGATCTCTCATCTCTGGCAGCTGGTTTCAAGAAGGGAGGAAGTAGTACATACTTTGAAACGCCAGACGGCCTTGTAAGTTCCCTCGAGTGTACTGGGAACGAAATCTTGGACTTTCCTTGACTAAAAGAGGGAGAAGAAGAGATCATCAACGGTGAGGAAAGTATTGAATGGAGTACAATAGATACGGCACGGGAGCTGAGACTGCACGTCGACACATGTCGGTGCACCTGATCAGTGATGTCGACAATGAAGCACATGTCGGAGGCGCGAGGCGTGATCTGGACCTCGAATTGCGGAGAATGAAGTGTCGTCTATTGGGAGCGTACTTTTGTGGTTCAGGGGTGATTAAGTGCACATGAGTATCGGGACATGGAGCCCTGCAAACCAGACAAAGGGCAATTGTTCGTGTATCACCCATTTTCCTTGCTGCCGGATATTAACGACAGTCGATAGGGCCAGCCTCTCTAGAGAGTCACGATCAAAACACATACTGCCAATCTGTTAGAGTACTGTGCAATGACATGTTGCGAGATACTCACAGGAATAAACAAGTAAGGGACCTGTCTCTCATACTCCTCCCATGCCTTTCCGTACCGTTCGCGACAGCGCTGAATATCACGACGTGCTCGATGTATAATCATGCAGCCGAAAAAGGCCGGATAGAACCAAGGAAACGGTGATCTGAAGCCGGTAACTGCTGCCCAGGACACGGCAAAGAAAAGGTCGCAAGTATAGTGGATTTTCCGGGCATAGCCATCTGATCATAAGTCAATATGAGAACCAACCCAAATATACAAGACAACACTTACACCACCCGTCGGCCAGAATTGTGCCCCCATTTTCGGCTCTGATGATCTTGGGATTCTTGACCGTCTGCCAGGGAAGCTGAGGAAATGCTTTGCGAGTAATGAGGCCTCCATTTTCTTGTGCTCGGAATCGATTCTTTTGGCTGTTCGTTGTATCCCATACCCAGTAAACAAACAGGTAGGCCACGTACAAGGCGGCCAAAGCGTACTTGTTCCAAACGTATGTGCTGGGGGCATGGTTGGCCAGATAGATGGTGCAATGACAGTATGTGAGAGGCACGCCAGCCAAGTTCCAGAAAATGAGCATGAAGCCCCATTTTTCATGGTACATGTCCCAAGTAGGAGTAATACATTCTTCTGCCTTGCTGCAGGCGTTGGCGTACAGGAAATGTGCCATCAGGAGGAAGCCCACTTCTCCAGAAACATAGCCATTATTCTCATATTGACGGGCAGCCGTTCCCAGGGTGGTAAGAAAGAGGATGTACCACGGCAGACGAACTTCGAAGAACATCTTGAAGTCGAGGATCCCAAACATTCGTGGGTTGAGTTCAGCCCCCATGAAGAAATCGTAGAGGAAACTCCCGGTCATGCGATGTTGCTTGCCACGATATATGGCCGAAGCATAGGCGACAATAGACACGAGGTAGCCGGAAATGATGGCCACGGACATGATGGGCCCGAACTCGTCGATGATTTGGTAGAGCTTGAACAAGCCCGAGAAGTGTAGACCCAGAGCCACAACAATGGTCGAGTACCAAGACCACAGCCCAGAGCAATAGTAATCCAGTCGACGTCCATTCTCATGGGGCAAGGGCTTTCCCTTTGTCCAGATCCCGGGCATCAGGCAATAGCATGCAGCCTCGAAAAGGAAGAAGGTCCAGTACATGGCCCAGGCCTTTGCCGATGGCCATGCACCATAGTAGATCATTCGCCCGAGCCCCCAGAAGAACTCTCCTAGAGACTCACCATCCCTGGGCATGGGCAGCTGGCCATCGTAGTATGTGGCACCAATCCACATGTAATACATGAGGGTTGGGAATCCGATCATCATTGCTGTGACTCCCCATGGGCCTCCAAATTCATAGTGGCCAGATGTGTCGATTCTGGGGTCAGCCATTTTCGCAGGAGCAACAGTTTGTCCATTAACTGGCTTGTTGGCATTTCCGTTCAGATGTGTCTTTACATGTCCATTGGCATAGCCATTCACATGTCCGTTGGCATGTCCATTTGCATGTCCATTTGCGTGTTCCTGCGTTTTGCCGTTGACAGCGCGACTTGATCTCCGCCTGGCTCTCCGCCTGCTACTCTTACTTGGACTGTTGCCCACGGCGATGGTATCTTCTGGACCCGTAGAAGCGTCTTGTGCATCAGAATCGTCTGTGGTAACGACTGACTTTCGTGCTCGTGGCTTACGGTAAGCACCGGGCGTCTCGACATAGTCGGGGTGGACTGTTTTCCTGTGGTTCTGGTGAGCTTTAGGTGAGATCGGAGGTGGACAGAAGATCATTACCTGGGCGTCTTGCCCGCTTGAGTGCGAGTGACAGTCATTCTGGAAGGAGTGTGTCTATAACAATAGGATAAAACAAGAGACGGCCGTCCTAACGCGACATGCTTTTTGAGGTCACCAGAAAGAAAAGAGTGGCGCAAGTCGGATGAGATGCAGAATTTCCCAGGCGCAAAACGCGATCCCTGTGTTTACCAAATTAATGAGTGGAGACTCACGGCAGATGAACAGGAACAGACAAAGTACGGAGGGAGTGGTACGATGTACGCACTGTCCACTCACTGCACACCAACCCACGTGCCCCTGAATGACAGCCTTCCAGAGTACAGTACTATGGTATAGACACAGAAACCAGACGCATAATTAATCGGGCATCCTTGACGTAGGTCAGCCATGAAATCAAGCCAGCCATATTCATATGCTGTGGTCTCGATCTAGCCCTTCGTTCTGGGCAGCTGTGCCCTGCTACCACCTAGGTAGTATTCTATCGGTATATACAAGTTTCATTGGATCGTAACGTTCAACCGCCATGGGCCATCAGGCTCCCCGTCTGTTGTTCGTGGACATCAAGGTGATCTTCTTCTTCTTCCCTTTCTTTGACTGTCCACCACCCATCCGAGGCTGTTGCGAGCTGCTTCCACCATTGAGACTGGCTTCCACCATGGCAACGGCATCGTCGTCTTCAAGCAAGTCTTTCTCCCACCCCTGAAGCCAGCCATCATCTTGTGAAGCAGGCTCTGGCGCCGCTAGGAGGGTTGGAGAAACAGGCGTCACTACGGTTGTGCCCCAGACAGTTCTCGCGGCATCGGGGCTTGTTCCAGGACTCGCCAGAGGCGCATACGAAGAATGATTTCGGCTATTGCCCCACGGAGGCGTTGTTGCAAGCGCCGACTCCCCAGGCGAAGAACCGTGCGTGTCAACCAGCGGCCGGAAGTCTGCCTCGCTGAAGGGTTTGGGCACCGAGCTTGCCCTTCGCCTCCTTGCTGAAGCCCATCGCTTTTCGTCTTCTTCCTTCTCTGCGCGGATCCTATCCCTCTCTTCACGCGCCTCCTTCTCAGTCTTTCTCTTCCGTCGTCTTGTGATATCATCTTGGAACTGTTCCAGAACCGTGGGACTGATAATATCCGTCCAGTCACATTCCAGGAAGCTGACTTCGTATCCGTACGGCAGATGTGCCATATACTTGGCCCGTTTGCGCAAGTCATCATCTACGATATGTCCAGTAGAGATGTGTTCCACGCGGGGAAGTATCGTCGAGGGGAAAGCGGAAAAGTCACCAAAAGCAGTCTTGAGGATCCGTATATCCAGTGGTGAAAGGAAGAAATTGGGCAGGGCGTGATAGAAATAGAAAGGATGCGATGGCGGACGGCTGCTTCCTGTCCCGGACTTCGTCGCCAAAGGTGTGGATTGGGCGGGACTGACTCCGTGTTGGAGAGACAGAGTCTGCATCGCTGCAGTCAAAGTCGACGGTCCTTTCTCGCTGTCACTCTCCTCAGACTTTGGATTCTCGAGACTGGTTGTGGTTGTGGCTGCCGATGGCGCAGACGGTGGATTGCCGATGCCGGTCAACTTCTGTTTGGCATCCTCGATTGAAAGCACCGCTTTCTGGGTCCAGGTGACGTCGTCGCCGAACATCAATTCATCCTCCTTTTCCTGTTTCTCGATATCAAGGATTTCCTGGTTATATTGAGCTGTCATGTAGCCTTCACCACCTTTCATAAAGCGAGCATATTCCATCATCTCCGCGACATGGAACCAAGGAATATCATTTGAGCGACCATATCCATCTGCGGTGTCGCGAGGCAACGCCAGTGTTGTACCTGGCTCACGCATCAGCAGCTTGAGAAGCACATCGCCTCCTTCTCTTAGCATGCTGGCGTCATTGCCGCTAATCCACCTCACGGGTCTCGCCTCGGACATGTATATGCTGTCTTCACAGATTGGACATTTCTTCCATCTTGCTCTTTTCTCGGGCATCGGATTTGCATCGTCGGCGGAGTGCATGTAGCGTATCAGACATGGCAAGCAGAAGATATGGCCGCATCTGGCCATGCGAGGGGCAACCGGTGTGGACAGGCATATCGGACAGCTTGCAGCTTGAGTTTCCGCAGACGCCAGAACCTGTAGAACTGCGTCCCAACTGACGTACACATCCGCATCCGTGGTCTGAGCATGGTATTCTCGATCTGGACGTACAATGAAGCGGTAATTGGCATGGACGTAGCGAGCTTTATCCACGGCATGATAGCCGGAGCCAAGGCCCCATGTAGGATTCCGTCTTTGTTGTCGATGATTGAAATGATGCTGATAATGTTGTTGAGGGCGGGGAGGCAGGCTGATATTCATAAGATGGGTGATTGAGGTTTGACCCTTGCGGCTGTTGATCGACCTCATGGCGGCAGTTTCAGCAATTGCATCGTCATCCACCAGCCGCGGTTTTCTCTGTCCTTTATGATGCTTCCGGAGAGGTTGACTGCCACGCGCTTGGGAGGTATGACGCGTTGTAGCGCCAGAGCCAAAACTGCCCGAACTATTGCTTCGCTTGGAGAAGGTCTCGGCACCGGAGGAGGAGGGTGTTTGAGTGTAGTTCGACGAATTGGAGGGAGCTGGTAACTTGGTTGAGGCAGGACTCGAGGTGGCGCCGGATGACATCGCTGCGGGATGGGGTGTCTCCTCAGGTCGGCAACGAAGCAGACGAGAGTCCTCGACAAATAATGGAGCAAGATTGACTTTGAAGAGACGGATCAGGGGAACACATATACCGCAATCGCCGCAGCGAAGGGGTATAGAAGGAAGAGATGTGAAAGGGGAATGGATGGAGGGGAAGGTAGTTCAGTTGTATGTAGGTACGTAGTAGGAGTCAGTCATACACCTCGACACCCATCGCCGTCTGTGGCCATCGAGGGGCGCCAGATTAGATAAGCGGGTTTCCACTAACTCCAGACCAAGTCCGTTAACCGGACTAGCGCCATTAAAGCCCGTGCGACTGCGACTGCCAGCTGCCCACGCACTGACTAAACCGATTGACTGACTGACTGACTGACTGACTGACTGTGCAACGTGCGACCTCAACTTCCACACTCACGACTGTCCAGGTCGTCCTGCGGTCTTCATCTGCTTACCTCTCCACTCTTCGTCGCATATTCCGATCTGTGTCGTGAGATAGGCCGACAAGACAAGCGTAGATCTGGTCGATCTGCTTCATTCCAGGAGCTTCGAAAGTCGACACAACTACCACTTCCCCTGGGCGAAGCCGTTTCCGACACCAATATCACCTTATTCTTCACCTGTAGCACCCGTTTGACCTGAACATGGCCAGCCCGAGTTTGTCGGAATAGGGCAGCATCGAGAGAAAGAGAAGGCCATACTGTTCGCGACGCGCACAAGTCTGACACAATGTCCTGGCGAAGAAAATCATAACGCGATCATACAAACATGCAACAAAATCACCACCCATATGGGCAACACCACCCTCTGCCCGTGCAGCCTCCTCAGAGACGGCATGATGGTTCATATGCTCCTGTTCTGCCTCCTATGAGACCTCTCCCGGGGTATCAGCAGTTCTACCCGCAGCAGATGGGGCCTATGATCCCTCAGTATCCTCAACAATACGCCCCCAACTGGTATGGCTATCCGCAACACCCTATGCATCCTATGCATGCGAATCGAGCGCCATATTATCCTCAGCATCCGATCCCTGCCCATCAATATGGTCCGCCTCATACACCTTTGATGGTATCGCCACAGCAGCACACCCAGGCTTCTCCTCGGCCTCTACACATCCCAGGCGCAATTCCCGCACAACAGCCGCCGAGTTCTGCGTCGACTGCGTCCGCCACAATGGTGCAGGCGCCCCCCTCTCCACCTCTTAGTACTACAAGCACAGTGAACACAAGAAAGACACCTGTCTCGCCCTCAATATCACCCGCACCAGAAAGAATCCAAAGTCCTCTTGTTGAGACACCGCGGGAGCCATTCCATCCACCGGTAAGTATCAGTGACAGCGACAACGACGCATGCAAAATGATATACTGATATGTGAAGGTCCCATGGCTGTCTTTTGAAGATGGAGCTTTCCCTCCGCGGGCACCCCGCCAGAAACGACGCATCCTTCGTTCAATGCTTGCCACAGAACCGGTTGTCTATCCTGCCGTTGAGCGACCGTCTGAAGATGCTCTTGACCAGGAGATATCACAAGCAGCACCTGTCGCTGAAGAGAAGGGTGCTGAACCAGTCGAACAGGCAACTACACAATCCTCAACACCGTTGCCATCAGATGTACCCTCTGATGCTGCCTCCACCCAGCCCACCACTCCCTTGTCCGCCGTCCCTGCTTCATCAAGCACTTCTCAACAGACGCCTACCCAACCCAAAGTACGACCAGTAGCTCCTGTGCTACCAGCAGTGCCAATTCTTCCTCCTAGTCCTTCAGCAGCACGCCGAACACACCGTGATTCTACTGTTTCAACCCAATCCAAGACATCACAGCCGGTACAAGCGTCCGCAGAGCAAACCCAGCTCCAGACTACCACTAGTGGAACAAGCGACACCAAATCAGTTGCTGAACAAACTGATCCAAATGTCGCGCGACCTCCAGCACCGAAGTCCTGGGCAAACCTCTTCCGCTCTAATGAACCGCAGACTGTGTCAGCGAACACGACTACTTCTAACCCAGCCTCCTCTGTCTCTGGAGCAGGAAAGATTGAAGCTCTCTCTGATGTGCTCAACGACATTAACTCTGTTGCTGACGCACCGAGCAAGATCTCCTTCTTGAAACCCCGTGGCCTGGTGAACACTGGAAACATGTGTTACATGAACTCTGTAAGCATGAGCCCATTGAATCTGCATTATTCTAGCTAATGATGGTCCACTAGGTGCTGCAACTTCTTGTTTTCTGCATGCCTTTCTATGACTTCCTGGCAAAAGTGGCCCAGCGAGCCACACATGCCTTTAAAAGTGATACGCCTTTGATTGATGCCATGATCTTGTTTATTCAAGAATACCCCGTCATCTGCTCGGCCCCTTCTGTCGAGCAACTGCGGTTGCGATTGAAAGCCGAAGATTACGAAAACTATGGGGACTCATTCATTCCTGAATATGTTTACGCCGCCATCAAGGATCTCCCGCGGTTCCGGGAAATGCGCCGGGGCCATCAACAGGACGCCCAGGAATTTCTTGGGTTCTTGTTGGAAGAATTGCACGAGGAATGTGCTCGTGTCATGAGGTCCACCACCTCGTCAAGCTCTGGCAGAACAACTCCCGCCGGCAGTGTCTCGAATGCCTCGGAGCATGCTGAGGGCGACAGCGGTTGGATGGAGGTGGGACACAAGCAGAAGCCTGCCATCACCCGGTCATCTGGGGCTACCTCAAGCGATTCGCCAGTGCTCAATATCTTCGGGGGCAAACTTCGATCCGAGCTCAAGGTCTCTGGCAACAAGATGTCGGTCACACTGGAGCCCTACTCCCCTTTGCAGCTAGATATCGGTTCACCTCAAGTGCACAACATCATTGATGCTCTCAAGGGACTGACTCGTCCCGAAACCATGCAAGGAGACTTCTACACACCAAGGGGACAAAAGGCGACTGCGACGAAACAGATCTTCATCGAAACCCTTCCTCCAGTATTGATTCTCCATCTCAAGCGATTCCACTACGACAACACCACAAAACGCGTGGAGAAGATTTGGAAGAAGATTGGGTATCCCCTTGAGCTGGAAATTCCCCGGGAAGTGTTCCCTACGCAAGCCCGGAACAAATTCATTGCTCATGGTGGATTGCCCAAATACAAGCTGACCGGGGTGATCTATCATCATGGTAAGAACGCTAATGGCGGGCATTACACTGTTGATATTCGTCGTCAAGATGGCCGCGAGTGGATCCGCATGGATGACACGTTGCTGCGACGTATTCGCGCCGAGGATGTTGCTGAGGGTGGCAGTGAGGAAGATCCGAAAGTTCTTGCCGCAGCTTTGGAACGACATGACGCTGGTGGTAATCGGTTCGAACAGATCGAAGGAGACGAAGAGGATGAGGAGGCTGCGGACAAGGTCTGGAGTCAAGTTAACGGTCATTCGAGGACCAAGTCGACCATGAGTGCCGTGGTTAATGGTGCTGGCACGCCCGCCAAAGACTCGTCTGGGAAGCAAACTCCGAACCCGAGATATGCCGTCAAGGACAACAAGGTTGCTTATCTGTTGTTCTACGAACGCATCTCGAATTGAGGAGGGTTGTCACAGTCTTGGTGGAAACGTTCCACACTCGCCACAGGGAGCCTTGTTACGATTCCAAAAGCAACAAAGAAAAGATGTTCAAGATTCGAACCGATTGCTCCGTGGCACGTTTCTTGAGAGGAAGATCCCGGTTTTTTTTGTAGATAAGATCCCATCGTGGCCCCAGCAGATGAGAAGAAGTCCAAGTCCAAATACAAAATCACAAAATGATTCATCAGATTGAAAATGATGTACGGGTTGCAGTGGGTTGAGACGAGTGATCGACTCAACGCTAGAAGTGAAGTAGGCATTGTGATGATGTAGGTCTTGTTAGGGTAGGGGGTAACGAGGCTGAAATGATCGCCTAGATCCGCCGGCCGGAGTCGGAGTCGGAGTTGTAGTCCTGCGTCAGCCAGCCTTCAAGTTGTGAACCACTGCACATCCGCATTACCCACGGGTCGGGCTACTACGTAGGTAGGGTAGGAAACAGTATTGCTCGGTGTCTATGGAACGAAGAGTGAAATTGAAATAGAGAGGGCAAATGCGAGTGCGAGTGCGAGACAGACGCGAGCCTTGTCAGGCAGCCAGGCATATTAGTACACCGACTGAAGACAACCGCGGTGGGTGACAGAACTACGCGAACACCAAATTCTGTCTGACCGTACTATAGCGACACTTCTAAGGCCAGTTTCTTAAGGATAATACGACCAGTCTCTCTTCTATTCCTCTCCTATTCTCTATATTCTTCTTCTACTTCTACTATATTCGATAATATAGCTATTTAGACTTACACGCTTCTACTAAATATAATTTTACTAAAAGAAAATACGTATACGTAGAGTAAGAGCTGAGAGATTTGTCGCTATCACCAAAAAATAGACTGACTGTTCGCATAATTATGTCAGGGGGGTGCAACATATATCAAGCTCACAACGATAGATTATAACTTTCCCTGCTACTATACCATGGATTACCTAACCTAGTACCTAGTAACTACTAGGTATCTTTTGAGATAGATATCATCGTAGACAAAACACAGCAAGATTCAGAACTGTCCAACACACATACAGACATTTCGTTATAGATTCCCTGCCTCGTTTCTTTTTTCGGCTTTCAGCTTTCGCTTTGCTTAGTCCCTTTCTCACATATGAGTTTCCACGAGTTCATCATCAACATCATCATCACCAATGCTGTGGTTCGAATGCTCCAAAGTAGTATAGAAAATAGACCATCCAGGCCGAGACCAAGAACAGGCGATCTGTGAGGATCCGTCTTTTTCTCCCGTACCTGTACCTCCTGATTTGCGTGGTCCCTTGCTGGCTGCGACTGCGACTGCTTCCCTGGCTCTTGCTTCTCTGCTTGCACTGAGCTGCTCGCCGGCTGACCACTCTGAATATTTCGTGGAGGCTTATCCGGTGGATCGCTTCGTAAAATCGGTGGTCGAGGCGCCGTCGTCTGCGACAGGGTTCTTCAACTCGAGGATGGCACTCAGCTTCAACTTCAACTTCAACTTTGCCATTCCGGGATCATTTTTATTAAATATTATATGGGTACTTTTGTTGTGGGGCCAAACAGACATGGAAACTCAAGAGGAAAGGTCGAAGGGGATATGCGCGCACAAGATCCTGGAAACGCTCTGCTTGTATGTGCTTGACAGAATCTCGGTCTGTAGGATTCGAAGCGAACTGATACTGATACTGATACTGAAGCAACACGGATGAGGTGATCGCAACAACTCAACTTACTCTTCTCCTTTTCCTTCTTCTTCTTCTTCTTCTTCTTCTTCGTCGCCGCCGTCGCCGTTGGCGTTTGGTGCATCAATGTTGGAGTCCTCACTCGCACTCTCTCCATTGACACCGTTGCCGTTACCATTCACTCCCTCACCGGCCGAGTCGTTGTTGATGGCTGGCGTTTCGGTCGCGTCGGCTGTTTGCTCGACGGTGCTGAAGCCGACAGTGGCCGACCCGGTGCCGTTCGCATGCTGTCTCCCTCGACTGGTGCTGAGGTCTCGTGCATCCGGGATGCTGCGCTCTTCGATGTGCCACTGCTGGATGGCTCGGATGATGTCCACAGCAAGTTGGCCGTTGCGCTGCAAGGCGGAGGCCCAATGTGACGGAATCTTGTCGCTTGTGGTCAACTGGCGAGCGACGGACGACACCATCATCTCGCGCATCTCGTTGTCCTCGTCGGTCTCGGCGTAGATGTATTGCACGCGACGAAGGCCAGGATAGGTGGAGGTCTTGTGGTACCAGTCTCTGACAAGGCCGACAATGTCGAGGCCGAGTTTCTGGATTTGAAGCCGTTGCGTCAACGTGTAAAGTTCGAGGAGTGGGCCAACGTCTTTCTCCGACTTTGGTTCACGGATGGACTGGGAATAAAGCCATCCTACGAGCAGTTCGAAAGGAGAGTCGTCTTCGTCAGGAAGACCATATGATTTGTTTCCGCGAGATTTCTTCTCCTCGTTCTTGTCGTCGGCATAGAAGATGGATGCGAAGAAAGGCGAGTGGTAGCACAGGAGCCTTTCGTGGATCGTCCAGCGCGTCGAATCCGATCCGACGTAGATGTCTACGAGAGACGACGTGAGAAGCCTAGAGCCTGTTAGTTGGCTGTTCCACTGCACTGCACCAGGGCCCTTTCGGCTCGACGTACTCATGAAGCTTCTTCTCCTTTTGCGGCTTGTTTTGAGCGTTCTCGGTAGCCATTTTTAGATAAGAGGCTGTAGGGTCGGCGCAATGAAGTTGTGAGAGGCCTTGTAGAGTCGGCGCAAAGATCTACCAGAGGGGAGATCAACTTCGACACAGAATTGGCGGAAGAGAGCTCTTTCAGTTCGGCGCACTTGAGGATACAGCGACCTTTCTTTTTTTCGGTTGGGCGCAACGGAATTGACGTTCAACCAACGTCCAGCGCAGAGAAGGCTAGCGGGAGGCACGGCAGATCCGGTCTTGTTCGATTCGATCCAGGTTCAGCAACAGCGAGACTCTGGAATCTGGTGACGAAGGGGCTCTTTTTGTAGGTAACTTGGGAAGAAAAAGAGAACAAGGGGAACTCAATTACTTGTGTAACAAACTAAAAAGACAAAAATCAAGAGACGACGTCAAGGCAAGGAGAGACAGAGAGACAGACGGACAGACAGCTCACCATTGCAGGGCGGGGGGAGGCTGGCATGTCAAGTCCAGAGTCTCATCATCACGAACCCTTGTCCCTGGTCTTGTCAGTCTCGTTCAAGTTGGGAACGAGAACGAAAATGACATGACGACGTCAGAGGTCAAGCCACAGTTCTTCATAGTACTAGTAGTATTTAGTCGATGGGTCTCTCCTGTGGGAGTGAGTTGGGTGGAATGGTATTCGGCGAATTATGGTTCCTCTCCCCTGGTCGCTATGATGTCTATCACGAGGACGGTCGCTGCAGTGGCTGGTTGGGACTCGTTGTTCAGGGATGTAAGGATGGAGAATGAGACAAGGGTGAGAATAAGTAGTAATGTGGAGAAGGCTTTGGAGGAGTTGAATCGGAGGTGAGTGGGAGAAAAGAGAGAAATGGAGAATTCGAGTGGATGAGAAGTGAGAAGCGAGAGAAAACCGGTTTGTGGCTGATGGAAAATTCACCCGGCGATCGTGTCACGTGGCAGGCAGAGGCGCAGGCAGAGATGGAGATGGAGATGGAGATGGAGATGGAGATGAAGACGGTTAATTCTCTCTTACGTGGTGAAAGGAGACTTTTAGGAGACAACACTCTGTCGACACTGTTGTAGTATTTCGGGAGATTGACGATAAGGCTTCCGTCAGGCTTGATCGAACCTGGGGGTGCATCTGCAAAGGAGGATGCGCATTTGGAGTGCGTTGGAGGGGGTATATCCAGCCTATTCACCGAACGAGGACATTGACAGAGTCAGATGGAGACATCCTCTACCACAGGTCTTGAGGTGGCAGATTTGTACCCATCCAGCCCGTGGGAGCAAGAGAGAGCAACCAACACTGGTTCATCCGGCTATCTTGCGAGATCCATTCACTTCTTACCTTTCCCCTTCCCCTTGGTCTTCTCAGCCTCCTCCTTCGCAAAGCCTCCCTTGACCAAAACCTCCCTCGCGACCGAATTGATACACCGGAAGCGATCCGGGCCCAGCTTGACACCGCCATACCACCGCGTCACAACGACCAGCACATTCCACACATCCATCAACTGCATCAGATGCAACAGCCTCCCACCGGCGGCCGACTCGCCATCATCATCACAATCCTGGATCGTAGTCGTCGTGGTCGTCGCCGTCGTATTTCCCTTTGAACTGGTTACCTGAATCCTCCACGCCGTGATATTATGTGTAGCAGTGGCGACCTTTTTATTCGTAGCCATCAGATGCGAAATCGAGTCCATCGCCTCAGCCAGCGACGAGACCGGACACGCGCGCGCGACAAACGTCGACTTGTTGACCGTCAGGGGCTCGGACAGGATCCAAGCCGGCGGAGGCACGTGGGAAGACGCTGTTGCAGCAGGGGAATCAGAATCCAGAGTAAAGTCGGACAGGGACTCAGATAGGTCATGAAGATTAGATCCATCATGACGCTGGCTGGGCGAGGAGGCGGACCTGTTCGTAACATCTTGGCTGTAATCTTGAGCCGGGCCATAGTGATGCTGACGCTGATGCTGTTGCTGATGGTCCCTGTGCTGTTGCTGCACCAGAGGACCGGCTTCTTCCACCAGGTCGAACAGACACACTTGACCGGGCGCCCACACTCGGGCGAGCACGTCCCGTAAGATATTCACTGCCGCTTCTCCCTCGCCTCGTCCACTGCCTCCGGTCGACTGCGTTCCGACGATCGCAGGAGGTACATCGGGATACTCGCGGGGGAAGGTGACGAGGAAGGAGAATGGTAGGTCGGGCAGGCGGAGGACTGCGGCGGTTTCGCTGGGGGTGTCGTGTTCAAGCACGAGCGTGTCCGGTTCGTAGATCGAGTTGAGGGCTTCGAGCTCGTCAGCTAGAGCCGCGTTGGAACTTACAGCGCCATCATCCGAAGGCATGGGTTGGCTGTCATGGTGTGAAGAGAAAAGGGAGATTTAGTTGTCAAGCCGGACTCGGTTAACTTGCCGCCGTTAAACCCGGCCAAGGTATCCAGCATGAAGGCAGAAGAAGACGAAGACACAAGAGAAGAGACTCCTCCATATCATCAATCATATTTACATTCACTCTATCTCATTCATCGCTGCATACTTCATTAAGTTTATCCTCATGGGAATAGCTATTATGTGTTCAGAATTCCTACATACCATCCATCATCCATCCATCACCTGATCGGACTTTGGGCCGGCCCGGATTGCGCGATCGCGCAAACGGGAGGCAAATCGTCTTGGACGTTATCTTTGCTTTATTCTGTCGAGGATCCTATTGTTTCTGCCGCTGTGTTGTTGGTCTGGCATCGTGAGAAGATATCTATTATCTAAAGCTGTTATATCCTAGGCTATCTTACTGGATCTCCGCTGCCAAGCTCTCCATTTCCCGCTGATTCCCGGTTCCGCTCCTCCGTCAGATCTTTCTTCAATCCTCGGCGGAGATCCGCCTGGCCACAGATCCTCTGGCCTTCAAACTCCGAGGCTTGTTCTTTCCGAGCAAGCTAAGCTCCGCTTGGATATCGCCCCTTCGCGCGATCTATCCTGCAATGGGTGATGCAGGAGAGACTCCCTCGATATCGAGGATTGCCATCATTGGAGGCGGGCCTGTTGGCGTCTCCTGCGCAAAGTATGTCCTTGTCCTCCAACCCCTCGGATCGCTTTATGATTGAGAGGTTCGCGCCTAAGTCAGAGCAAATGTGATTGACATGGTGCAGATATCTGCTGGCAGAGAAAGTCTTCGACACAATCGACATCTACGAGCAACGTGATGGAGTGGGTGGGATCTGGAATCTGTCCGATCCGACTCGGTCGAGAAAGATCCCCTTGCCACAACTCGATCCGTTCTACGGCTCTAAAGGCGATCACTCAGAAGACGAGACTCTGGAGTTTGAATCGCCTCTCTACGACTACCTGGAGACAAACATCCCCAAACAACTAATGGCATTCTCGGACAAGCCCTTTCCCGAGGAAGACCCCCTGTTTCCGGGCCACCCCGCGGTCCTTAGGTATTTGAACGACTATGCCGACGAAGTACGCCACTTGATCCACTTCCACACGGCCGTCCGCGATGTCACGTTGAATACCGACAACAAGTCCAGCAGCCAAGAGAAATGGTCTCTGCTGGCTGAGGATCTGCGCACGAAGCAAACGATATCTCGAGAATACGACGCCATCATCGTCGCGAACGGACACTACACCGTGCCGTACGTGCCGGACATCAAAGGCCTGACGGACTGGAACGCCACTTATCCCGACCGAATTCTGCACTCGAAAGCATACCGCAAACCAGAGGACTTTAGAAACAAGAAAGTGATTGTGATCGGCAACTCTGCGTCAGGACTAGACATTGCCACACAAATCGGAAAGTACTGCAAAAAGCCGGTCTTGTTGTCCGCCCGCTCAGTGTCGGCGTTTGGGACACTCCCGCCAGCAGAATGGCGCGACGACGTCGACGAGCTGGTGGAGTTCCTGCCCAAGGAATCTGGCGACCGAGCTCTCCGGTTCAAAAGCGGCCGAATCGAGAAAGATGTTGACGCGGTCGTTTTCGCCACGGGGTATTTCTACTCGTATCCCTTCCTGTCGGCGGTGTCTCCTGAGGTCGTCACCGACGGACTCCGCACGCGAGACGTATACCAGCATCTCTTTGACATCGACCACCCGACTCTCGCGTTTCCCGTCATCAATCTCAAGGTCATCCCGTTCCCGCTGTCGCAGAACCAAGCTGCAGTGGTTGCGCGGGTGTGGAGTGGTCGCATGGACCTGCCTTCCTCTGCGGAAATGCGACAGTGGGAGCGCGACACTGCTGAGCAGAAAGGGGATGGGAGATATTTCCATGTCAAAAAGTTTCCGGAGGATGCAGCGCAGATCAATGAGCTTTACAGTTGGGCGGAACTGGCTAGGAAAAAGGAAGGCCTGGAGAACGATGGGGTGGGGAAACGAGGGACAAGGTGGGATGAGAGGCTGGTGTGGATGAGGTCGAGATTTCCGGACATCAAGGCCGCTTTCCTGCGAAGGGGAGAGGATAGAATCAAGGTCAGGACGCCGGAGGAGTTGGGCTTTGATTTTGAGGCGTGGAGGAGCAAGGCCGAGGATAAGGACTTGGAGGTGTTTCGGCAGGCGAGGTGTTATGACTGAGACTGATATGGATAATTCAGGATACATAGAACAAGCCTAGAGCGTGATGAGACAAGAGTCGGAAGAGGTAACGGTGGTTCGATGCGATGCTACCGTCAGATGAAAGCCAGCAGAAGTGCATCCGTTGTCTCACATGACTGCAGATGAAGAGACCATGCATTGCACTGAAGCCTTGCGACACCCTTAGCTTGGGGTATTGAGAGGTAGATGCTGGTATTTTCGTTCATTATGCTTGTGGCGTGACTTGTTATCCTAGCGGTGGAGAGCAAGGCTGACGGGGCTGAACGAGGCTGAGGCACAACTGATACGGTGCTCGGCTAAGTTGCCCCTTCAGCCTCGTCTGGCCTCGTCTCCAACTCAGCCATCAACAACGATTGCAACACTCTCTACGTTCAACCGATCTACTTCCTCGAACCGCCGCACCGCACAACCCTCCTTCCTCCGTCCACCATGATCACCGGACCGACTATGAAGTTCGCCCCTCCCCGTTCCTTGATTGCCAGAATATGAAGAATCCTGGACGCAAGAACTCAGACACTATAGAATACAAACCATCCAAGCGCAAGAAGTCCGCAGACAGCCCTGTGGAGTATTCAACTCGCTGGCCCGACTGGGAAGAGCAGAAACAACTAGGCAAAAAGTTTCGTGAAGTTGGCGAAGGCAATTGGCCGGCTGCAGATATCTTGGAGGAAAGACAATCCGGCAAGAAGAAGGAATATCTGGTTTCCTGGGAACCACATCCAAAGACCAAGGAAATCTGGGAACCAACTTGGGTATAGATCTGGCAGCAACTGTTTGCCTGTATGCTCACTGACGTTTAATATAGGTGCCTTCTGCTAATGTCAACGAGGCACTCTTAGACTCGTGGAAGAATAAGAACAAAAGCAGAACGCGGCACTCACCACCCGATAGACAAGGTAGCCGGTTTTCGAATGGGCAGTCGGTGAGTGGGGTGGCAAGACGACCGCGACAAACACGCACAGTCCAAGATTCCAGTGAAATCGGGTCTCAGGCCGCTGTCAGACCAACTACAAGAGCGTCCTCGTCCAGCGGATTGACGAACGGCTCGCGCACCCCGAGACAGCTGGGGGCTTCAAGACACTCCTCTGTGACTCCCACAACTCTACGCTCATCATCCCCTGTTGAAATAGCAGAGACACAGCACGAGGTGTCGGAGCCGGTGTCTATATCAATAAGCATCCCTGCCGCCCACATCAACAAAGCCGACTACGAGTCAATCCACAGCTCCCAGATATACTCGGAGGGCGGCTTGATAAACTCTTCGCCGCCATCACAGAGTCAGAGTCAGAGTCAGATCCTAGCCCTCAATTATTCTTCTCAGCCAGCGCTGAGACACACTCCTTCGAAACGAAAACATCCTGTTCTCCCTGATTCATCGTACGACCTGGCTTCTGGTCAAGACCTCGATACTACGTCGTCCAAACCTACACATCGATTAAGTGACGCAAGAAGTAGACGCGCCACGCGATCTACTGACAGAGAAAATCAACCGTTATCGCCACCTAGAGCCGTGCTCTTCACAGATCAGTCGCCGCGGACGACTGCACTGGCATCAAAGCCGCCAGAGCCTCTCAACCAGGAAATAGTCATCTTGGACGATTCTCCCGCATCGAGCAGATTTTCAAGTCCCCAGTACGTGCCTAGTACTGAGCAGCATTCCGACCAACCACGAGAAGCTAGTGAGCAGCTGAATTCGAATCAGCGCCGTCAAGTCCTTTCTATCGCCGAACTGACTGGCGAAGCACCTTCGCAGCCTCGGGCGTCGCCTCCTTCGGATACGTCCCCCCAGCAGGACGGTAGCTCCTCTACGCCTTGGGAGTTCAAGACACAGGCACTTACTCAGCACATTTCGGGTCTCTCCTCGCTCGAGGTAGCGTCGCAAAGTTCCAACGGTAAGAGACATCTATTCGAAGGGTTTCGATCACCCGTCCGGTCAATAACTCCTCAACGCCATCCTGAAGCAAACATGGCTGCTGATATACCGTCACCTGGATCCTACAATCCTCGCCCGATTGCTGCGTCTCCAAAGGCGTCGGAGTTGTTAACCCGAATGCCGACAGGAGGACTATTGGCTGGAGAGGCAGGAGTCGGGGACAAGGAAACTCAGGGTGTAACTTCTTCGGCCAACAGGATGGATCTCTCTGCAGATCCCATCAGCATCTCATCAACTGATGCTCGACAGGATGCGTCGCAGGATGGTGCATTTGTGCCACAAGCTCCAACTTATGATCTGCCGTTCCCAAGTGCACTCCCCATCCAGAAGTCCATCGAAGAGGAACCACATTATTTCCACGACGAACAGTCGTCGAACGAATCGAAAGCGAGCTCGAGTCAACAGTCCGTAGATAATGAACGGGACGTTGACCAAGTTGATGGATTGGTTCAGCCGAGCCATCCCATCCTTGGACCCGCAGAGTATGCTCTTGCTTTACCTGCCGAAGGGAAGGTCCAGTCTACCTATCTCGACACCATCAATGCCAAACGAAAGGCCATATTGAAATTTATCAACCGGCACGAATCGATCGGCTCGTCGAACGGATCTCCCAACCGGACCCATGAAAGAAACGAGATGGTTGAGCTGATTCAACGACTGCACGACACAACCACGCATCTTGATCTGGGGCTGCCTGGGTTTGGCGCTCAGTATTCCACCCAATCCGAACATCACGCCGCATATGCGAACTATGCAGGCTCCAAATTTTCCTTCCTTGGACATCTAGTCGATATGCTTAAGCGTGTGGAATGCTCCATCATAGTCATGGCTCGAGCAGGCCCGATCCAAGACCTTCTCGAACAGTATTTGACATTGAAACATATCAATGTGAGACGGCAAGACCGGATGGCGGCGTCGAAATCACCCACGCCCGACAGACCTAGCACGGAATTCCAAGTCCATCTTGTCAGCACCATGTCAACGCATCAAGTTTCATTCTCTCCCAAACCGATCTTGATGATTGCGTTTGACGCATCTTTCGACTCACAAGATCCTCAGGTGATGCGCATCCGAAGCCACTTTGCGCCCAAGCCTCCCACTCCCATGCCAGTGATCCATCTATTGATTTCCAACTCGTCAGAGCACGTCGACCGTTGTCTGCCGAAAAGCTTGCCGTCTCCAATGAGGTTGAAGGCACTTGTTCGTGCGACGTATCAGGCCCGGCCGAATCTCGGAGGCAAACCAACCTACGTCCCGGATGTGTCAGACGAACCCGAAGGAAGACCCATGGATTTCTCAGACCTCCAACGGGCTCTCCGGAAAAGTCCCGAAAGAAAGCTCATCATGCTGGCCTCGATCGTGGCAAGGGCCTCTTTGGCGCAGAACTTCGATGACAATTGGAATTTGGGCTCGTTGCCTGAACTGCAGCTGACCGAGATAGATGATGCACCGCCAAAAGGCAGTGGTACCACCACGGTGTCTGAAACGCCGAAAGAGCCTCTTCCTCGCTCTAGAACTCCTGTCTCGCGCGCGGATACGCCGTCGGGCCGGAAGCGGTTGTTGGAGGTCGACTCGGTGCTTCCTCCACTGGTCAAGCGGCAACGTATGACGCCATTGCGGGACGCGCTGGAAGCTGGTCACGCCCCTGGTGATGCAAGTAGTCAACTAGCACAACTTGAAGAGCTACTCAACAAGTTGCAGGCTGATCTTGTCACCGAGAAAGAAGGCCGAAAGAAAGCCGAGGCAGAACGAAATCATGTCCAAGAACAGTTGGACCAATGGAAAAAGGACCATGCAGCTTTGCAACGAAGATATGAAAAACGAATGACGAAATGCCATGATCTAGAAAGTGGGAACAAGAAACTTCTGAAGACGATTGAGAATAACAAAGCCCGGCAAGAGAGGGTCGCCGAAGACAACAGCAATCTGAAGAAGAAGGTGGCGGAACTCCGAGGCGAACTGACAAGCGTGCGTGATGAAATCAAAGCCGGAGGAGGAGATGCTGCGGCTCTGGAGGCTGCAAGAGAAGAGGCGCGGACTCTGCTGGCCAAGAACACCCACCTCGAGAAATCACTTGAGAACACACGCAAGGATTTCGAGTTCACGCGGGCCCAGTATCAAGATGCATCGAACAAAGCCGCAGAGTTCGCAACCCAGGTGAGGGAGCTAGAAGAGAAGGTGACGCATTTGACCAAAGAGGCTGGCGACGAGAAACGCCGTCTCAAGGAAGCCAATTTCGAGGCCAGCATCAAGCGACATCTGGCCAAGATCTCGGAGTTGGAGCTCGAACGCAAGTCAAAGGACACACTGCTGCGCAAGCTCGAAGAAGAGAATCGTGCCTTGAAGCGGAATCGAGGCGTCCAGACGCGTGGGTCGAGCGTGCAACCTCCAGGCAGTCCAGGGCTTGATGGCCATGTAGGGAGAGGACCACGGAGTCGACCGAGTAGCCCGGCCCCAGGATTGTTTGCTAGCGGAGGACATCACTCTGGTGGATCCAACCGGGGCAGTCTGTTGCGGCATGAGCGATGATTGTTTGACTGGGCGTGGTGAGCGGGAGGTGGTTTTTTAGGCGACAAGGCGCAACAGAGTGGGAGAACATTGTCTACGGACGTAATGATGATGTGCAGATTGAGTCAATTTCGGGCACGGCACAAGACCCAAGGAACGGGCACGGTAGACTGGTGTTAGGGAACTTTTAACAGTTGCAGGCTGTCATGTCTGCTGGTGATATTCTGATTGAAATAATGTCCGGCTGGCTCTGGCTGCTTTCTTCCGTGGTGATGAAAACGTGTTATGTGCGCTTAATCCCCCTATCACAGTCGATTGCTCGTTCTTGTACAGACTGAGTCTATCTGTATCCTCTCCTCCTTCGCACAGACAGCCACAGGAATGTGAGTGCCGATGATCTGCTGATGATTCGGGATTGGATTGGTTGTTCTCCATCTGTCTCTTCATCAAGTAAACGGTGGTTTCAGGACCAGGTATAGGGTAGAGAGGTAATAGGTCCGATGGAGCGAACGCTATCGTTCGGCCTCACTCAGCCTCATGATATCCTTGGTCATAAAGCGGCATGACAACACCGAGAATAACGATTGGCTGGCCTTGTGGCATTGAAAATTACATAATCCTTTTTATAGTCCACCCGGAATTCGGAGCTTAGCCTGGTTGGTATCTCCGTCTCCACCTTCACCTCCATCTCCATTTCCAAATTCGACTTCCATCCTCACATGGAGAGAGATTGTGAGAGGTTTAGGAGCCTAGCACTTGGTTCGCGCGAAATCGTGGTACCGGAGGAGAGACGTTTGTGTGACAGAAACTGATCCCGTCGCCATAGCCAGTGCTCTTTCCGGATACAACGCTTGAACTGTCGTTTCTCTACCGACAACTGAGGATTCGCCTTGGATCGACTCCGCAAGAGGTTTGTACCCTCTCCAGCTATCGGGTCTCTGTGAGGCGCCATGCCATCTCCAAGAAGCAGAGGCTGCCAGACATGCAAGACTCGACGTGTGAAGGTAACTATGATCTCCCAACGATCCATCCTTTTTCTAGATTGAGCCACTCTGACACCCTACCCTCCCAGTGCGACGAGACCAAACCAACATGTCAAAGATGCAAGAAGGCCCAGCGGGTCTGCCTATGGGCCCCATCTGAACAGGCACGCTTCTCGATCCATCTGGAAAACCGCTACGCGAGCGGCCAAACCAAGCGCCCACGAGGGCCTCGACGAGCTCTCAGCACTACTAGTACGTCCAGGACATGCAGCACAGGCACCAACACAAACACTCTTCTTCCCCGCGAGCCACGTCTCGACCTGCAGACTCGAGCAGTCTTACACTATCTGCATCATCAAGTACAGACGCGCGCGGAGGCGCCCAGTCTCGCAAAGACTCTCTACGACTGTGTCTCGTCCAGGACGGGACAGTCCGAAATGGTCGACCTGGCCATCTCATCGATCGCTCTAGCCGTCTATTCCCATACCCAGCACCACCCTCCCGCAGCTACCCAGGCGACAGTGCAATACCAGCACCTCCTACGAGTCGTGCGATCGACTTTACCCAGATTAGACCGCTACAACATCAACGCCTGCTTGTTGGCGATCTGTCTGATGGGCCGATACGAAGACACCGTCTCCCGACCGGACAGCATTGCCTCGTGCCCGAGTTTCTCGCATCACGACGGAGCGCTGGCCGTGCTGAGGATCTGGCGGGATCTACAGAAGCGCCTGCTCTCATGCCAGGAGATGATGACGATGGAGGTGGGGGTGCCGGATATCGTCAAACAGACTCGCCGCGGACTGATCAGGTCGGCGATGCTCCGCAACTTGTCGTTCCCCGGCTGGATCAGCGACGGCAGTGTCTTCGGCGAGTCTGGCCGCGAGCTTGTCTATGACAGTATTCTCGTGGACTTGACTAACCTGCGCCACCGGCTGGGGAACGTCGAGACCGGGAGCACGACTGATTACTATTCCGAACTGGAAAAGATGAATTACCAAGCGGTCGATCTCGATCTGACGTTGCAGAGATGGTCCAACCAGTTTCCTTCCGCTTGGAACTATGAGCGTTGCTGGCTGGATGGTGCAGAGAGAGACCGACTCCCTGACCATTTCTACTCTGATGCTGCTGCTGCTGCTAGTGCTAGTCCGGTGTATGTGTACGCTTATACCAGTGCCGTCTATGCCGCTGTGTGGCTGCAGTATTTCTCCACCAGGATGCTGCTGGGCAGTACACGCTTGAGGATCCTTCGTCTCCTGATCCAGGCTTGTCGAGTTGGGGCCGTGCAGGAAGGGGATCAGGATCCCCTCCATGTTTCCACTATGGCAGAGCGCTACGGACAGGAATATAGGGAGTGCTTGGCCCAGCTGAAATCCGCGGCAGACGGTCTGGCGGCGAGTATACCTTCCTGTCTGGGCCGAGTTAAGTTGAAGACGGAAAGGCAGGGTCAGCCCCGGCCTCGGAAGCAAACAGCGAGCCCTGTCAACGCGACGGGCACGCGTAGTACCGGCACGAAGGACTCAGAGCTCGGAATCTGTCACGGACAAGACGAAGGCCTCTACACCAGTGGCAGTACTAGTTCCATCACTACTACCGGGACTAGTCGTACTGCAGGTTCAGGTTCAGGTTCCGGTCCTGCTTTCTCTCAAACGGAGTCTTCCACCTCCACGCCGCCAGAATCGGCAGCACGGCATCCTAGTACGCCATCGACATCCTCGATCTCTCCGATCTCAACATCGCTGGCTCCACCATCTTCTTCTACTTCCTCTTCTTGTTCTCCTTCCTCAGCATATCTCAACTCAGGTCCTGCAACATTACCGATTGCAAGTCACCAACTACCAGATTCGACAGCGACAGCGCCAGAATCAGAAACAACACCAGCATCATCAGCAATGGCGATACCTATACCCAATGAAATCAACATCAACCCCTATCTCGCATCTCTCGCTGTATGGCCACTCAGCATCGCCTCTGGGATTGATATGAATATGAACTTCAACATGGAACCAAATCGTCCAACCTCGCCGGCGGGACTAGGAGGTTTAGGGACCTGCGGTGATAATATCGTGGACCAGAGTAACACTATCCCTATCACTATCAGTACTACCACTATTACCGGTAGTGGTGGTAATACTGGTAGTTTCAACACTCATACTACTCTCTCCTCCTCGACCAGGGAACAAGAAGACCCAAAAAGAGAAGATTGTTTGGATTCCTCCGATTGGTCCACGTCAATCCAGGCCGAACTGGCGAATATGCAGACCTGGTTCCGTGCGGAATTGGGTCGTCTTGGCCGAGTCATCGGAACGAGAGTCGTCGAGGGTGCGCAGGTGAATGGGGAGTGGTGGGTGCGGTTATAGAGTGAGGATGTAAAAGAATGAAGAATCAAAGGACGAGAAGAACGAGAACATGAAAAGAATGAAACTATGACGGGCCGGCAACACAGATATCATATATGATCAGGACGAGACGACAACGAAACGCAATGCAATACAAGCAAGAATCATTCTTTCTTTCAAACATCAGACATGACAATTGGGTCTACGCTATTCAACAGCTCATTCTGTTCTCGTGTCATACATATTGCTTGCTTGCTGTACGTATGGAGGCTGAAGGAATCACCCTCGAATTCATTGAAGTGCCAGTCCTTGGATTGATTGAGTCTGGACCTCCTGCTAATTTACAACACAAACCAGCCCAAATCACTTGACTCTCCATCTTACCAGGGAGAGTGAGTACGAGTACATGAGCACCTGGATAACTCCGTCGCTTTCGTGATCATCAAGCTCATTCCTCAAAGTCATATCATCTCGCGTCCATTGTCATGGATTGTTCGTGGGTATCTCAATTCTCGTCGCCCGTCTCGACGTGGCCAGCATCAATTCGAGATGTGTGATAATTATCTCCGTTCTCCTTCTCAGGCAAATCCACTTCGTCGTTCGTATGGTCCGCCTCATTTGGCTCACCTGGCTCATCTGTCTTGTCATCTGACTTGGTGTCACAACCACCTCCGTGAGACTTGCTGTCTCTCTCACCTCTCCTGTCTTGGCCGTCATCGTCACCGTTGACAACAGCCACCGTGGAAGTTTTGTCCTCGTCCATGGTAGACAGCACCGTCTCCTCATGTGGGACGCTGGATTCTCCAGACGTCGTCACTGACGGCCGCCCAGCTAGGCTTTCTATGTCTTCCTCGACTTTCTGCTTCCACGCTTTGAGGTCTGCGATTTCACTGTTCTTGGCTTCCAGATCAGTCTGCAGGCCTGACATTTCTTGCGCAATGTGCTCCGAGGCGGGTTTGCGCTTCTGTTCTTTGCCATCCAGGTCAATTGTCTCGTTTTGAGCAGCGCAAGCTTCAGACGTCCGAAGAGATTCTATTTCTGCTTGAACCGCATCGAGCTTCGCGACGGTTTTATTCAGCTGCGTCTCTGTCTCGTTCTTGCTGGCTGTCAGTTCTTGAATTGCCTGGGCTTTCAATTCGAGCTCTTTGTTGACGCTGTCGAAGGCAGATGACTTCGTTTCCAGAGTCTCAAGCTCCGATTCGAGCTCCTTCAGACGGTGCCGCAGAGCCTGCTGCTCAGTGTGCATCGATTCCAGCTGAGCCTCGGCTTCATTCACACGGTAAGCAGTCTCCACCTGGGAAGCGAGCGCGGTTGTGAGCTCGGCTGCTTTGGCTTCGAGCTCTCTGGAAGTCCTCTCGGCTATGTCGGTTTTATCTTGGATGGCAGAGTCGAGTTCACCCTGCACCTGTGCGAGCTTGTCCCTTGCGTCTTTCACTTTCTGCTCGGCGTGCGCCTTTTCTTCTTCGGCTTGACTCAAATTATGTTCCAATACAGTCTTGAAATCGCGCAACTCGTGTGCGGCTTTCTCAGCTTCGACTCGTCTGCTCTCGGACTGCTGCAGCTGGGACTCGAGGCCTGCTTGTGCCTCTTCAAGCTGTTCCATTCTCTGGCGCATCGCTTCGAGTGCTTCTTCGCCGGACTTCTGGGCGGCCAACGCAGTCGCGAGGGTTGTTTCTAGGCTGCTGTGATCCTCGAGTTTCTGTGTTGCTATAGCAAAAGCCTCCTCTGCGTCTTTCTGGGCCGTTTTGGCGTCAGCGAGCTGCTGCTCAAGTTCGGTTCTTGATGTACTGGCAGCTGCCTGTACTGTTTCCAGCTTCTCCTCGGCCAGTTTCTGGGCTGTTCGTGCTTCCGTCAATCTCGCTTCCATTTCGGCCATGGCTGCCTCTGAGTGGGCCTGAGCTTTCTCCAAGGCTTCCTCGGCAGATTTGTGGAAGACATCGAGTGCAGCCAGTTTGTCCTCAAGCTCGTTGATGGAGACACGGGATTCTTCGCTAGCCTTTTGTAGAGTGTCATCGGCAGCCGCAAGCTTGGATTCTAGATCGCATCTAGTTGACTCGTGCAACTGTTGTACTTCGACGAGACAAGCTTCCACAGATGCCTTCTCAGTCTCGACGGCGGTTGTTCTCGCAGTTATGTCTTCATAATTAGCCTGGACGGCTTTGAGTCGTTCTTCAAGAGCCGCTAGCTGCTTCTCCGCTTCCACCTTTTCCTGTTGTGCTTGCTCGAGCCTCCTCCCTATTTCGGCTGTGGCTGATTTCGAGATTTCTAGCTCCGCTTTGTTCTCCTCCACAGTCTGAGCGGCTTTCTGAAGCTGAGAGGCATACTCCGAATTCTCTGCCTCAACTTTAGCAATCTTATCGTTGGCAGTAGCCTGGGCATGTTCCAAATCCTGGACACGTGCTGTTAGTCTAGCCTTTTCGTCCTCGAGGCTTGTGATCTGAGCGGTGGAAACGGGGAGGGTGTTCTTCAGCGTCTCAAGTTCCTCGACAAGCTTGGTCTGATTGACTTCCAAGTCAGCAACCTTTTGTGACTCGGATGCTTTTGCTGTATTGGCGGTGTAATGCTCTTCTCGAAGCTTGTGAACGTCCGCTTCGTAGGCCTTGAGCTGTTCAGCCAACTTTGTATTGTCGGCTTGGATGGCAGACATTCGTTGTTCTCTCGACTCAGCCTCCATCTGAGCCGCGGCCAGACTTTCCGCGAGCTGCAGCTTATCTGCCTCAAGAGCAGCAAGCTGGGCCTTGACCGCCTGTGAATCGTTTTGTGCGGCAACAAGTTGACCTGTAAGCTTGGACGTTTCAGCTTCGTGGTCAATTGCGGCAAGTTTGCTTGCTTCCAGCTCTAACTCGAGCGTCTTGTTGTTCTCTTCAAGAGCCTTCAACTTCGCTTGGACCTCTTCATGAGCGGTCTGTAATTCTTGACGTGACGAGTCGAGGCCCTTGATATGCTGCTCATGTTGCTCTTTGGATTCTGCAACCCGGGCTACTTCTGCCGCCAGAGTTGCCTTCAACGACTGAAGTTCGCTGACCACTGAAGAATGCTCCTCCTGCAAGGCGGTAGCGCGTGCTTCCGTCTCTTCATGTCTGTCACCTAACTCAGTAGTGGCGATTTTGTGTGTTTCCAGGTCCTTGGACAGATCTGCCGAACGTTGCATCTCAACGTCAAGTTCTGCTCGGAGTTGAGAATACTCTTCCAATTGTGCCGATAATGAAGCAATCTTTGATTCTGCCTCCGCCAAAGCTTCTTTCGATGCCTGGTTGTCTTCAAGCTCCACAGCCAACTCGGCGACTCTATTACGAGAACTCTCAAGCTCCTCCTTGCAAGCCTCAAAGGCTCCAAGGTCTACCATAAGCTGAGCGACCTGCTTCTCAGATGCTTCGAGAGCTGCCTGGTTCGATGAACTCTCTTGAAGATGTGCTGCCAATTCAGCAACTTTTGCTTCTGACGCAGATAATGCTTTTTTTGCTTCATCATAGCCCTGGAGCTCGGTGGTGAGTTCTGCAATCTGGGCACGCGTAGTCTCGAGTTCGTTTTGGATGATGTGTTTGGCAGAAGTCTCGGTTTCCCGCTCCTTGGACGCAGCATCAAGGCAATCTTTGGCTGCAGAGAGCTCCATGGCTTGAGTCTGTATCTGGGATTCCAATTCTGCCTTGAGAGTTGCAAGGGACTTATTGGCATCCTCCAGGGCTGCGGAGGAGTTTTGCTGCAGGTCATCATACTGTTTGATGCGATCCTCAAGTCTAGTTTCTGCATGTTGTAGTCCCGAGCGCACGCCAGTGAGTTGCTCGGTGAGGGTGGCTATATGTGCTTCCAGCTCCGCTTTTAGAGTATTGTTCGCCTTTTCCGACTCCTCAAGCGCGGTCGCCGACGCTTGCTGCACACCATTCAACGCCGCAGTCGTCTCGGCAATGGCTGTTTTGGCAGCTTCGAGATCAGCAGTGAGGCAAGCCGCTTCGGTCCGGAGCCGATTCAGTTCATTCTCGTGGCTGACCTTGAGCTGCTCTTTTCCGGCACGCGCATCATGCAATTCCTGGGTCAGGATGGCGACCCTGGATTTGTATTTGTGGTGAACAGATTCCGTTGTCGCCTGGTGTTCTAGATTGCATTCTTCCCGCACTGCCTGTCGTTCGGCTTTCTGGGCCTCTCTTATTTGCTGCACGACCACAGCCACCATATTCTCCTCCAGGGCGACCTTCTCATGCTTCAATGACGCCTCTTTTTCTCTGTACCGTGTCTCCAGTCTTTGCGTATGTTGATGGAGATCTGCCAACTCCCTATCCTGAGACATGAGTTTCTCTCTGGCTACTTCGAGCTCCCTCCGACACTGTAGCAACTCTTTTCGAACGTCATCCTCCTGGTTCGGTTCTTGGGAGCTGGTAGCATGGTCAGATCTGGGAGGTGCCGTGGCCCTCTTCTGTGGCACGGGTCGCGAGACAGGGTTGTCCTGGTGGAAGAGGTAATTGTAGGCGCGGCGCAGGCTTGTTGATCTTTTCAAGCCGGGAGGAGGGCGGGGTTTGTTTTGGGAGATTTGTCGTAAACGCTTTTCAGACGCCATAGCGTACTGCGGTGATGCGAGACCTGTTCAAGAGTAAAAACTGCTCCTTCAAAAGCACAGAGCCTGTGGAAATGAAGTTGCGGTGTTGCTGGACTGTTTCACGTAGGTGGGGAAAGTAAATAGGCGAGTTTGGCTAGAGGGAATCTCGTGAAGCTACAAGCAGGAACAAGAGTCATACTGTACCCTTTTCGCACTGTACCGGTCATGTAGGATGCATTTGTAGGGGAGCAACTACCCCAAGTGAGTCGTGACTCCGTGCCTTCTACGGATTCATCGGGCAGCAAGGGACGAACAAGAGAAGTGGTTGCTCATCTGTGGAGGGACACGTCGCGATGCTTCAGCGGCTCGCCAAGGGAGACGCGAGCTCCCATAGGATGCTTCACATGAGCGATATATGAGTAACAGCTGCGTTGAGTCAACAGCTGCTGCAGCTGCTGCCTGTAGCGGCTTGACCTTCAGCTTGTGCCCAGAGCATTGTCAATTGCCTGATAGCATCTGACTGGTAGAGAGGGAAGAAGACGTGGTTGCGGGATGTTTGGCTATTATGCAGGCACCCGTAGCAATGGCAGCGGGAGGCCGCTGCGGGCCGTGGTCTCGTGGAGCTTATCGTTGATATCTACGGTGCATCTCATGCGCCAACATGGCACTCAGAATTGCATGACCAAGACCACTACTCCACCGTGTATCTCAGCGTAGCATAGTAGGACGGACCATCTCCTCCGCCGGCGCAGTTTCCCCGGACAAATGACATCAACTGCGGCGCCGCCATCAAGTAAGCAATCATGATGAGTTCACAGAGTTCGTATCTTCGCCTCCGCGCGAGTTCATGATTGATGATGATGGTGGATGGAGATTGGATGAATTTGTAGTATTTCACATCCTACCACACTCCCCCCAACTCCCGACTCTTTTGCCTTCTCCGTTAATATATTGTCTATCTTTATGTTCCTCAGACACCTCACCCGTCTGCGTCGACCCTCGCCTCTAGTCACACGAATGAGACTTGCCCAGATGGCCTCTCACGTTGCTGACGGCCATTCGAATGGCTCCCACCCAGATGGCCATGCCGAAGGCGGATATACTCTAGCCGATATTCCAAAATCCAACAACTTCACCTCGCACCTCCCTGCAGATCCGCAATTTCCTACCCCGATTGACTCTCACCGCGCACCTCGCCAAAAACTTGGGCCTCGCATGGTCCGAGGAGCGTTATACACATATGTACGGCCGGAAGCGACAGAAGATGCCGAACTGTTGGCCGTCAGTAAAGCGGCATTACGTGACATTGGCCTTGCCGAGTCCGAGGCCACTTCAGAGGAATTAAAACAGGTCGTGGCCGGAAACAAGTTCTATTGGGACGAAGAAAAAGGAGGCATCTACCCATGGGCGCAATGCTACGGCGGCTTCCAGTTCGGCTCCTGGGCCGGACAGTTGGGCGACGGCCGAGCCATATCTCTATTTGAGACCACAAATCCCCAGACGAAAGTCCGCTATGAAATCCAGTTGAAGGGCGCAGGGAAAACTCCATACTCACGATTCGCCGATGGCAAAGCTGTCCTGCGCTCCAGTATCAGAGAGTTTATTGTGTCAGAGTATCTCAACGCTCTCGGAATACCGACCACACGAGCATTATCTTTGACCTTGTGTCCTAAGTCCCAGGTGGTTCGAGAGCGCCTTGAACCAGGGGCGATTGTTTGTCGCTTTGCCCAATCCTGGCTACGATTCGGGACTTTTGATCTGATGCGGTCAAGGGGCGACAGAGATCTCATCCGGGAGACTGGGACTTATATTGCTGAAGAGGTGTTTGGTGGCTGGGAGAAACTCCCAGCAGTTTTACCAGCTGACACCAAAGATGCACACTTGGATCCTGCCAGAGGAGTACCCAAAGACACGATCCAGGGCAAAGAAGGCGCAGAGGAGAATCGGTTCGCCAGACTGTATCGTGAGATCGTTCGACGCAATGCCAAGGTTGTTGGCATGTGGCAAGCATACGGCTTCATGAACGGAGTGCTCAACACGGACAACACCTCAATCTACGGCTTGTCTATGGACTATGGCCCTTTCGCATTCATGGACAATTTCGACCCGACTTACACACCGAATCACGACGACCATATGCTCCGATACAGCTATCGTGCTCAGCCAAGCATAATTTGGTGGAATCTGGTTCGTCTGGGCGAGTCCCTTGGTGAGATGATTGGCGCCGGTGACCATGTGGACGATCAGGTGTTTGTCGAAAAGGGTGTCACCGAAGAGTTTGCTCCTGTCTTGATCAAACGCGCCGAGACCATCATTGATCAGATTGCGGATGAATACAAAGCAGTGTTCCTGAGCGAGTATCGTCGGCTAATGACATTGCGCATTGGGTTGAAGACCCAGAAGGACAGCGACTTTGATGTGCTCTTCTCCGAGCTTCTTGACACCATGGAAGCGTTGGAGCTAGACTTCAATCACTTCTTTCGTCGTCTTTCCTCGGTGAAGTTGGACGATGTCAGCACCAAGGAGATACGTGAAAAAACTGCTGAACGCTTCTTCCATCTGGAAGGCGTTACAGGTTTGAATGAAACGAATGAATCCGGACGCGAGAGAGTCGGCAAGTGGCTTGATTCCTGGCGTGAGCGGATGGTGGAAGATTGGGGAACCGAGCCATCGGCGGACGAGGAGAGGGAAACGGCCATGAAAGCCGTCAACCCCAACTTCGTCCCCCGAGGGTGGTTGCTCGACGATATCATCGACAGAGTACAGAACCAAAAGGACCGGACCATCCTGGAGGGCGTGATGGAGATGGCCCTCAGTCCGTTCAAAGACCAGTGGGAGTGGAATGAAGAGGTTGAGAAGAAATTCTGTGGCGACGTTCCCCGGTTCAGGAGGGCCATCCAATGCAGTTGTTCTTCTTGAGCGGTGATTTGAGACTCAACAGAGAGCTACAGGGTGTTGTGGCCAAAAGCAGGACGATGTTTACATGGCGAGAACGGGCTTGTTGGCCGTCTTCATCCGTGTAGTGAATATGAACATTTCCATATGATATGACTATCAAAGTCCTTCCTCGATCCACATATTAATTTCATTAATCCCATCTGCCCGATCATAGCGGTGTCACCATATCCAGTCTACCATCCAATCTGTCTGATATGTGCATATCGTCTCATCCAGGCCTTTCCTATCCAACTCTTGACTCTGGACATCACCCGCCGTATATATATACTGCGGTGTCTAGTCAGGCATCAAGCCCCCGCATAGATATCCGCATCAAACTGCAACTGATCGATCTTCTGCCGACCTTCCGCCTCCTTATTGACCCAAACGCTAACGCTCGTGCCAGGACACATGAACTCGCCGAAGCCATCGTCCTGAATCTTGACCTCGTCAGGCTGCCAGCCCAGGACATCAGTCCACACCTCGCCGACATGTTCTTTACCGACAAACATCCTCTTCTGGCCCGGGGCGGCATTGGACAAGACACAAGCCAGGCCATCCTTGCGGTCGTGCGTGCCTCGCCGCACAAACCCCAAACAATTGGCATCATCCTCGAAATAGTCGTTCTGCTCACCATACGCGAACAGCTTCCGCGCCAGAACCAGCTGCGGCAACTTCCCTCCACAGGACGGCGGTTCCGGATGTTCGCCCTGCATGCCGTACAGATCGCCGTAGAAGACACACGGATATCCTTCGTGGCGGAGCAGGATCAGCGCATACGCCAGCGGTTTGAAGAAGCCCTCGATGGGAGTCGCCATGGTCTGGCCCGGCTGGGTGTCATGGTTCATGACCACGGTGACGGCGCAGTCGGGCCGGGCCTGGACGAGACTCTGGTCGAAGACTTTGCGCAGGTCGGCGCTCTCCGCGGTCGACAGCCGCGCGAAGTTGTTGAGCAGCGGCGAGTCGTACAGGCTGAACTTGTGGTGCATCTGCTCGAGGTATTCGAGCATGGGGCCGACCTCGCCGGTCCAGAACTCGCCGACCAGAAACAACGAGTTCTTGCCGAACTTCTGCTCGAGGTTGTTGACGAAGTCGTTGGTCCACCGCTCCGAGAAGTGCTGGCACGCGTCGAAGCGGAAGCCGGTCAGTTTGAACTCGCGCACCACCCACTCGCCCCAGTTGATCACGTCGTGCGCCACCTCTGGGTGCGCGTAGTCGACGTCCGCGAACATCAGGAAGTCTGCGTTGCCGGATTCGTCCCCGACACTGAACGACCAGTGCTTGTGGTCGCCTAGGATGCGGAAAATCCCCGTTCGCCCGGTTCCTGCATCGTAGTCCGTCCCTGAGAAATGCTCCCAGTGGTACTTTTGCGCCGAGTATTTGTCGCCGCGGCCGGGGAAGTCGAACCCGAGCCAGGCTTCCATTTCAAAGGGTTCGCCGATTTCTTTAGTGCGATCTGGAAAAAAGACGGTCCCCAGGTCAGCAGCGCACATAACAAATCAACCAGGACGATCAGACAACGATTTCAATCACCTCGCCGATTCACCGATTCATCGACAAATCAGGGGGCAACTCCCGGGCTCAGACATCTCATAAAAGCAAAGAAAATGGACACAAAAGTGCGCCATCTGACTTACCAGACTGATCAACCTCGACGACTCGACATTTCTCCTTATGATCCGCGCCAGCCTTGTGATTCAGCACGGCGTCGAAGTACAACCCAACCCCAACCTCCTGCGCCTTCTGGACCAACTGGTCCAAATCCTCTCTAGGGCCCCATTTCGTCGACTTGGACCCTTTCTGCTCAAACTCGCCCACGTCGTAGATGTCGTAGACGTCGTACCCGTTAGCCTCGAGGCCTCCACTGCCCTTGCACGCCGGCGGGAGCCAGACGTTGTCGATGCCGGTGGTCTTTAGCTCGTCCATCACATTCTTCAGTCGGATCCAGTGCTTCTGGTCGGCTGGGACGTTCCATTCAAAGCCCTGTAGCAGGCAGTGGTTGTCGGGGGTGGGGTCTGACATGTTCGCTCCTCACAAGTCACAAACAGTAAGGGATGAAGCTGACACGGTAACAACTGCAATATAACCTGTCCCTGGATGACGCGACCGCCGATGTAGATCGAAAAGAGATGTTTCACAAAAAGATATCCAAGACGAGATCCAGTGACCAGATATTCTATCCTGTATGTCCAACCGGTCCAGTCAAAGTGTATGTTGTGTATGTATATATAGTTCAAGGACCAAGATAAGCGCGGCGGCAACGCAACCAACAATCAAATCTATCAACTGGCCAAAACGCAAGAATACTGTCAATAGCAGATCATGGAAGGATTCCAAGGGTGAGAGAAGGTTTTGCATTCTGAAAGCTTATAAGGTATCGAGGGAGAGAGAGACGGCCGCCCAGATTGATGTCGTCATAGCTCGCTAAATACCGGGAAAGATGAGCATGACTTGGATCCTTCAGAACAAGTTCGACTAGAAGCGAAAAACTGCCTCCTAGTTCTCGCGTAAGGTACCTTACGGCTGAAGTCAAGAGAGCTATCGCAGTGGCGCTGAGATGGAACCCCCACGTCAACCGGCTGCAGCTCAGGACACGACAGATACACGCTCTGGGGCTGAGACCGAGGGACCCTAATTGCTCTGAGCCACGACACCGAGTTCCTTGAGGGTTAGCTATGGGTCGTGAGCAAAGATAAGCAATTCACGATACTCTGCCTGGAGAAGGAGTTCAATAAAACTTGTTTCGTACAGAGTTAGGCTGCGAAGATGATTCAGGCTCGTCGAATGATACAGCAATCAGGCTCTACCAGTTGCTGGGCGAGGCCAACATCAAGCATGGGATCTTCGACGGTTATGCCATTGGAGTGCTTGCTGGACCGCGTGAAGGTAAAGACATTGACTGCGTCGCCTCAGCCTCAAAGCAGGCATTGATTCAGTTGATCGATGGAAGGCTGTCCTTGTCGAGGTCTTTGTTGAGCAATTCAGTCTGACCTTATTTGAAAACGTAACGAGCGCCCATTTGTGCAGTTCAATACTTTCTTGTAACCGAGTATCATCGTATCTTTGTCAGTGTGGAGTTGGAAGTGATGCTGGGAGAATCGAGTGTCTACAAGGGAAACATACCCGCTGGGGTTGTAAGTTCAGGTTCAAGTTGGTCCTCAACGAAAGCAAACCTCCTCCCTCCCTTTGTTGTTGATTGCCAATTTGGCTGTTGGTTAAGACCACAAGCCACACTCACAGCCACACAGCCACATGTGAGAATCAACTTCGCTCCAGTTCTTCTTCCCCAGGATTTCCCCAAGTTTATCTTCTACCTACTACTACTAATTGTACCTCACTGATTCAAGGCCGCCGGTGTGGTTGTTGTTGTTATAACAGGACGGTGGAGAGACGATCCAAGCATGAGGATGGTGAAGGTGGTGACGACTGACGGCAAGAGAATAAAGAGGGGGTTCAGCCATGGGTTGGGTCCGAGGGTATCACAGAGCAATATGGTCACCTACTCAGTAGTCATTGAGGAAAATGTCGACAAGTCGTGTCTATCGGCAGCATCGTGAGCAACCTGATATTATTCAGAGGCCTCCCAAGACGCTTCGTTACTGGGGAAGTGAGTGGCATGTCCATCTTCATTGTAATCGAACGATACCTATCTGATTGTTCCTCAGGCGCCCAACAAGGCGAATCGCACTCAATCTCTGGGACACAAATGATAAAAGCTTTTCGACATATACTTGTATATATACGTGATCAAGCCAAGGTCGCTCAAATGTAATATCAGACACGCTCGTCAAAACTGCCAAGTACGGGCCGACTGATTCCAAGATAGTCGATCGCCCAAACACTGCATGGAAATGATAAAGTATTCGTCGAAACATATCCAGAACCTCCACCGCCTTGCTCTGCCTCATCGACAGCCGCTATTTGGCGACAATGGTCGTCGGAAGATGCGTCTGCGACTTCATCTGCTCGGCCGTCTCCTCGTCAATAACGCCAAAGTTCTCTGGCCGCTCTGGTTGGCGCAGCTGTTCCTCTCGATCTCTTCGATGCTTTTCGACCTTCCTCATTGCAGCAGTGGTCAGCTCTTGCCGCTTCAGTTGTTTGACCACATCCTTCTTCCGGGACATGCGGTCACCGATGGCGATCACTACACCCGCGGTGATATTGCAGGTGATCGAGCATGCAAGGATCGTGGAGGTCAATGCCTCAGGCCGCGTACGATAGTTGATACTCCAAGTACACGTCCCCAGTGCAATCTGAAACAGGGAATGACAGTCCAACAAGCACACAATGGTCACGAGCAGCCGCAGTGGGAACGCGTGATGCGTCGAGGTCTCATGTGGCTTGTAGAATGAGTGCGACTTGGAGAATTTCGCCTGGTGATGGATCAACTTTTGTTGCTGCTTTGGCGTCAGAACCGAATATTGCGCGTCCTCGGGTTCGCCGGCTTCGATGTCCATATGCTTTTCCGGCGGAGGAGGAAGGTCGTTGTGATCGTGCAGCTCCGGAAGCCCCCTTTCTCGGCGTAACCGCCACGTCAGATGGTGGTAATGGGCAATATAAATCATGTGGTAAGTGTCGACGGCCCGAAATGGCGCCAGACCATCGCCCATAAGGGCAAAAAGGGCGACAAGCACATTGTCAATGATGTTGATGATGTATAATTGACGGTCTCCGACATAAATCCAACCTGGCCGCCATTAGCCGCCCCGTCCTCGTCAGCAAGACACCATCGGTACTCACCGATCAAGAAAAGCACCCACGCCGCCCCAAACAGCGTGATCAGAGTGGCGTAGAGGGTCACAAAGAAGCCAAGAGCTAGTCATGTGTCAGCTGCGCCGCATATGTGAGATTGATGGAAACTTACGTTTTCGAACGTACTTGCCAAAGGCAACCATACGCTGTTTGAACTTGGACCGTTTCGAGTGCAACATGTGTCTCACATGGTCATCCAAGACTTCTTTGTCCTCTTCGCTCCACCCTTCCAGTCGAACTCCGTGGGGTAAGACGGCATAATGAGATTCGGATACCACAGACGAGATACTGTGGCTGCGCTCCAACTGCGGTCTGCGTTGCCATGACCATGAACGCTGCATCGACGATGGGCCAGTACCCGTCGGATCTTCTGGTCCTTGGTCCAGTGATGCTTCTTCCAAGGTCGGTTCACTGGGAATAGGTGACATGACAGAGGGCTCCTTTTCAGCTATCGTCCCAGGCCGTTCGGACCGGACATACGTTGGCTGCCGGCTTAACTCGTATGTCGGTCTTCGATTCACCCATCTACCTAGGTCTGGCACAAACAAGGAATTCTGAACATTGGTCAAAGTGGTCAAGGTCGAAACCTCAGGATCTAGAACAAATCAGATTGGTGCCCCGGGCAATCAGCAAATACTTGACTTACCAAGCACATCCAACAAGTCCACTACCTCCGATTCGTACTCGGGCCCTTGACGCCGTTGGCGTTCTTGCGAGTGATCGCTGAGTCTACTAAGCACCGACCTTGCAGCACTTCGTCTCCTGCTACTAGGCCCGCCAAAGGTTTCCTCATTGACTGTATCCCGGTCGACGGGGGCGCCTTCTGCCACAGTGGGAAGGAGCGATTGTCTCGAGGTCTGCGTCTTCAGAGCATTGCCAGACCCATCGACGTCTAGTGTGGCATGTTGTGGCGCCGAACTGCTCCGTCCTCGAAGCGACGAAGACCGGCTCACGTTGCTACTGGCAGTACCAGGAGCCGAGTCACCATCTTGTGGTCGATTGAAATTGGACGAATTCAGTCTCCTGATGCTGATCGGCCGGAGCCTGTTGACTTGAGTAGGAAATGCGACGGAGTTTCTCGTGGCGGGGACATTGGCAGATCCGTCGGGAGGGGTGACAACGGTCACTGGGGCTTGGTTGGGAGGCGAGCTGTATCTCTGCGTCGGTGATTGAGTGGAAGTGAAGGTATAAGGTCTCCCTCGAGAAGGTACCGTTGTCGTAGTCGTAGTGGTGGTACTGAAGGTGTTTGTACTTGGGCCAGCGGCGGAAGACTCGGGCATCGCGGGAAAGGGTTCGGTATCGGAGCTTCGGCTGCCTCCATAGTCACGACGCCCATCTGGTCGTGACGAAGCCATTTCACACGGCGGTCAAAGGGTTGAATGTCTCACAGAGATGACATGGGCCGTAGGTAGAAGGAGAGAACCAGGTGGGCGAGTCTTGGTCTGCGGCTGTAAAGAAGGGAGGTTTGGCTTGCAGAAAGTCAGCTACCGATCGCACCGCACGGGCCTCGAGGACCCAAACAGTTCCAACGTGATCGGGGAGAGATTTCCCAGGCCTTAGGACCGACTCCTCGGGGAAGATGGACACAGAGGTGCAGAATGTGAATGTGGGAGTTCTTTAGGAAAAGGAAGATGACAAAGGGTAGGGCGCAGGAAGAAAAGGAAAGAATGCGCGCAGTCTTGTGTAGGTTCTGACGATGAGGTGCAGTGCCAGTGCCAGTTGAGAAGTTGGAGGAAATGAGGGACTTGGGAGCCAACTAGCTCATTCAGATGGAGCCAGCCAATGGTCACGGAGGACGGAGTGTGATATGGAGCACTACGGAACACTATCTTGGGCACTAGAGCACTTAGAGGGTAAGAATAGCTCCATAGTAGTAGCTAGCAGGTAGGCACTAATGATTATCTCATCTGCCCCAGGGCCCTGGCAGGCCTGCCAGCGACCAACAACAACAATAATAAAAGTTACGTAGGTGCCGTTGCCGATACCAGAGCCGGTGGCAGGAGCCTAAGGACTAGTAAGGAGCCTAGGGAGCCTCCCTAGCCTTACTGTTTAGCTGCCACCCTATAGAGCCTAAGCCTTAGGAGTCTTCGTTAGCCACCCCTAGCCTGCGGTGGCGCTGAGTCATCGTCCTACAATGGCAAACTGTCGCCCTTCAGACACTGGCGTAATCCCGCAATCCCGCAATCCGCAGTCCCGCAGTCTCACCCATCTCACCGTCCTCTTTCTTCCTCCTTGTTGACATTCCGTATAGACAACTTGAACAGGGGCATGCCAAAGACGCACTTGGAGTCATCCGAGTCTGTGTACAGAATCTTACCTTGACACGGACATCAGCTGCAATGCACATGACGCGGCGTCCATCACAGAAGTGTCGCGGACTTCCACCACTGCAGGCATTGTTATCTTGCCTGCTTCGGGACGAAATTTGACAACCGCGCGAACCCCTGCAACAGCGTCATTTGTCCCTGTGCACCTTGGTCATGACCAGAGCATCCCTTACTTCCCCAAGGCTGTTCAAGACCAAGATACACAGTATGGTCGGATTCTCGCTGCACGGTGGCAAGTACTGAGGGTGTTAAGACAGGCAGATGGCACAATCTCTCCTTTCCCTAGGCTGACATTCGTGGTGCTCCTACACTTTTGGCTCTCGAGCCTCGTGGGCGAATGTTGGAGGATTCTCATCCACATCCTGCTGCAGCCATCGAACCATCCTTCTTGCCGCCCGACGAGGTCCCAAGCCGTCAGCATAACCGATGAACGGTTCCATGTGTCTATACCCCATCAGCTCGACAATGCGTGGTGGGATGCTGTCGAGCTTGCGAGGATCGACCGCTAGGATCTGGTTCTCGATGGGCCGAATGTAGGGGTTGCAATATTGCACAGTGGCGCTCTGTCGTGGACGATCTGACACATTGGCACCACCGCCATGCCATAACGTACTGAGAAAGTACACGACGCCACCTTCGGGACAAAGTGCAGGCATGGTCTCCTCTTCCGTGGGTCGACGGTGGCTGTCCCATTCATGAGATCCAGGTACAATTCTGGTGGCACCTGTCACCAACAGTGAGTAACCCGCCCACTGTTGATCAACTGCAGCTTACCATTGGTGGCGGTGTATTCGTCCAAGGCTACCATGATCGCGGCACCAAAAGGCAGTCGGGGCCGCGGAAATGGTATAAACCCATCATCGTGATGCAGTGGCTGAGCCTTTTCTCCAGGGTCGATACTGATGGTATGGAATGCTGACAGGAGATATCCAGGGTCGAGGAAGTATTCATTCAGAGCCAACACTCGGGGTAGGATCGTGAACTTGTCGAAGACCCGAGTCTTGTTCAGCAACGAGTAGATGCGATGGGTATTGAGTCCTTCGAACCGGTTTCGTCCCCCAAGCGGCGTCTGGCCCAGCAGGCGTATGATCTCGTCTCGAGCTTCTTTGGCCTCTGCTTTGGTGAAGCAATCAGGAATGACAACGTACCCATGCTTCAGGACATGCCCAACGTCCGCCCGCACAATCGGATCTTCTGGCAACGCCTTTTTCTCAACCACGCGAGAAAATAAGTTGAATGGCTCAGCCATCTTGCTTTGGGATACCGCTGGCCAGCGGTGGCTTTCGAGACGGATGAGCACTGCAACTGGAACGATGTCCTCTTTGAATACGACGCTGCACCTGATCTTCCATTTTGTCTTCACATCAAAGGCTTCATCTTCTCGGGCTGACACCATTCGTATTGCTTGCGGGGTTGCACGCGAACCATTGCCCCCGCGTAAGCAGGAAGCCTCGGCTTATCATCGTTTCTCGGCCAATTGTCGTCGCGAGCCATTTCCAATCAACTGCATTCAATTTCAGCCAACCTGCTCACATCAGCTCGGTGAAGATCAGACGGCGAAGTGTGCAGCTTCCTCGCAGCATCTGGTCTCTGGACATGATATCGCTCGATATCACCTTCCAAACTGACTCGTTCGGCCTACCACCGTAAAGGCTGGGCATCTTTTGTTGCTCGTGTTTATTGTTCTGCAGAAGAATATCAGGGGGTTTGGACATACCTTCTGGCTCAACCATTCCATTACAGCCATGCCATGCCTCCAGGTAGGTGCTGATTGGTTTCAGCAAGCCAGCTCAGTTGATGGGCCGACGCAGGCAGCTTGTGAGAACGCCGTTGATATACAGACCGACGGACGTCTGCCATGTTTGTCAGGATGATGTTGTCGATACTGAGGAGTATCACCAGCAGTATCGCACGTCATGCATTCCTTTCTTTCCCTTCTTTTATCGGTCTTGCTGACTCCGCTACCTCACTGAAGCCCACGCTCACAGTAGGGAGTTCTTCGAGTGCTAATGGCACTGCTTTCAGCAATCGAGGAGGACTGTTCGTCTTCGGGACTCTCTTGGTCTCGTCGCGTCAATGCTTAGGCAGGTAGGTGAGAGACAAGTCGGCTGAGTATGGACGGCAATTTATCAACAACGGATGCCAAAGCCATTGGAATGAGTGTTCCCGAGGTCAATTGAGGTCTGTAACCTGGAGAACGTCTCGACAAGGACAAATCGGCTCGACTTGCAAAAGATGCTCGTCCTCGCGAGAACGAAGGTCCAAACAACAACAGCAATGCTGGCTGTCGAGAGGTTGATATCTTCTTCTCGGCAACTAACCTTAATCACTGCTGTTCGCGCAGGAATGGAAAGAATAACACAGTTTATGACATCGTGGCTCTATCAAAGCCATGACACGCAGCTGTTGTTTATTGTTTGAAAAATCCGCTGTCGTGAGAAGTGCTTGCCCGCTCCTCTCCACCACACAAGTAAAGCGTCAACAATCGCATCTCTCACAATCCTCTCTCTTCTTTACCACTCATCACTGAACTCCTGGTTCTGAAGCCGAAACCTGCTCAGCTTCTTCCTTGCTGTCTAGGTCTCGAGTGTTCGCCTTGGAGCCTACGCCGCCTTCTTGTCGGTCTTGACTCTTGATTGGGAAGCCATAGAATCCTTCGAACTTCAACTCAAACCACCTCTCAATCAACCAGCAACGCTGCCATCAAGTGCTTCTCCTTGAAGCTCTCCTTCTACCTCCCCGGGCTCACCACCCTCTGCGAAGCTCATCTTCTCTCCCTCGCTGTCGAGATGTGCAGATACGTGGCATGGGCCTGTGGCCATCGCACCAAGAACATGTGCGCTTTTCCGAACTACAAGAAAGCGTATGACAGCAAGTATGTCCTCCCTTCAATGATTCCACTTCCTCAAGGCCTCTGAAGAGGCCCATCTCTAGCATGTGGCTATCCCTAATCTTCCGCTGTCGTCATCAGAACGCTTTCACTAACCAGTCTTGACCTACTTCTAGGAAGCCACATCAGGAGTTTCCCTGCCCCGGACAACCGATCGAGTATCTTCTATCGAAATGCATTTGCTACCCCTGCATCCAGGAGCAAACTGCCCAGGAGCACATGGCGGGAGAACATGGTCCGGCGTGTGGTGCCTGCGCGAGAAAGAGCAGCAGCCTCCGTAAAGACGATTACGAAGAGACCTTTCCACCTCTCCAAACTGCAGCCAATACTGGTCTCGTCAATACTGGTCGCGTCAATACTGGTCGTGTCAATGCTGGCCGTGTCAATGCTGACCGTGTCAATGCCGACCGTGTCAATGCCGACCGTGTCAATGCCGACCGTGTCAATGCCGACCGTGTCAATGCCG